ATGTACCCAAATGGCTTCAGAAACAAATACAATCAAGTGACCCGATAAGAGCAGAGGATAAACATCCATCATCCTCTATTGCTAGACATATAATTGAAACAGGTCACAAGATTGATCTAAATTCAGCTTTTGTAGTGCTGCATAAAAGCGTAAAAGGGCGTATACTAAGGTTCATTGAAGCCTTAGCCATACGAAAATTCAAACCCCCTTTATGTATTCAAAAACAGTTTGTTCTTACCTTAAACCTACCCTGGTAATATTGACTTATTATCCAGAGTGATTATGTTTCAAATTGTGTTCACATTATAATTATTATTACTCTTATCATTATCCTTATCTCCTCTTACCCCGTTTCCTGTCTAGTTGACCTTTTATTTTTATATATAAATTCTCTTAACAAGTATGTGTGACCAGATTGTTCGAAATGTATTGCGCTAATATATCACATAGTTCTGATAATATTCGTCTTCTAATATCATTACCGAAACATCGAAATAAACCTACGCGAATGTTATTCTCGACGATGGCGACAAAGTCAACTGTTGGCGACTACATTTTGGCGTCGATGGATAAAGGAATATTTATCGCTGTTGCAGATGCGAACAAAGTGGACACAAAAAAGCGATATTTATAAGCATATCGATCTGGTCTTGACCATTGAATATACTTAAATACGAAATAATTGACTTGAAGTTCTAGCGGTGTGTGTTGATCCAGGAGAAGATGGTCTTATCAGATAAGCAAAGACCAGATCATTGAAAGGTATAATCACTAGTGATACACGTAGAATTTGCTTATTAGAAGGAGCAGACGATTGAGTAGTAGAGTGTAGAAAGACTTTGCGGAATGACTGTGGTTATAGCAAATTGTACCATTGTTATCTCTTATTTTTTACCACTAAATATTTAGTCGGTGAGAGTAAGGAAAGATATGCTGTCCTTGGGCAGCGATGTTGAGTTTCTTTTACATTGTTCTTACTCGATTCTCTTTCACTCTTTTGAGTATTGTTTTATACTACTTATTCACATTCAGTAAGTAGTTGTAATCCCAGTCAAGTTTACACTTTCGTTGTAACGCTAGTTGTCGTTTAATATTCTGAAATATTTACATATAATTATAACGTTTATCGTATTTAGCATTGACTTTACCTTAATCACTGTAGCAGTTATCTACAGTTTTGTGCATTTGTTCTAACGCAACAGTTTCCAAATTGTTTCGCTATCGTTTATGCTTTCAGATGTTGATGAACTTACCAAATTTAGACAAATCTATCAGTTGTCGTTTGTACTACCGAAGCCATTTTATTTCATACAAAAAAATGCGCAAAACGCCACAGATACCTCACAAGTTGTGGTTTGTAACTAATGTTTGTGTATTAATCAATGAAGAACCGCTATTGTAAACAAATCTTTGTTTTTCAAACTTCGGTTTGGCACGTATCACAATTGGGTGACCTGCACGCTTCGATAGACCTGACACTGTCAATTCCCTATAAGTTTGTAATGGTGAAACATTTGATTACTTTCACAGATTTATTACCGATCATTCGTATTTGCCTCAAAATATCTGGATTAATGCTGCAGTGCGATCGACATACGGGTTTTAGGAAATTGGAATAACTGGTCATGAAGCGGATGCGATTTGATATGAGATTATAAACTTCAACATCATGTATTAGAAACTTCATTGAATGGTTTGGTTTAATTTGTATCTATGAATTAGTTATTAGAATTATTTTTTTAATGCGTTGAGTGTCATTGTTCTTGAAGTGATTTGCTTGGGTTGAAATTCAACGAATGTTTTTACACAGCTTCAATCACATCTTATATGCCTTAAGAGAACAATATTTTGTTGATTAACAAAGACCATTTTGTTCATACTCAACGTATTTTATTTGACATTCTGTATATTGAATATTTTGAATCAAAATCCACAACAAAATTATTATAACGTCAGTGTTGTATGAATGAATACAAATATACAGTAAACGTTACTACGAGTTACTACAAGCAATCATTCAAAGTGCTGGTGTGAATATGGAGTAACATATAGATGTCCTAAGGCTTGATAGAATAAAAAATACTAATGCTAACAATGAAGGAAGTCGAAAGAATTATCTCGTATCGTTTATGCTTGAACACTCGGTTGATCTTCATCAACGGTACTGATCTATAATGAATGGGTAACAATTGAGACACTTTCTTTCAACCACTGAATAATGGCAGAATATACTTCAGTCCACTTCGGTTTTTCACTGGATATCTCAAATAAATATTTGACCTTTTCTCGAAGTTCTGGGTCCATTTGATAATTAGCTTCTGTTGGGAGGATCTGTAAAGACAAATATATCATTTCATGTACAATTCATATGGAGCCAATTCATAAAATTGACAGTTTAAATTTGAGATGAAAAATAGTGGACGTCAATCAGTTATACAGCAAAATAATGAGTGTTTGGTTTATTACAAAAGAACATTGTCAAGATCCGCAAATTGCAGAAATGCGTAGTTGATGAATTCAACTGTTTTCATTTTATTCAGTTTCACTTCATTGAAACTGTTTACGATCAATGGTGTTTGTGCTACCGAACATTATCAGATTTGTCTAAATGATCACATTCGAAAAATTAAATCGCGGCATATGGGACAAAACAAAGTAACACTTGTAAAGCGGCGAAAAATAAACAGGCTCTTCACTAACCTTTTCATAATTCCTTCCACTAAACAATGAGTAAGGATATTTAGTTAGTGCGTTTAGTATGGATTCCGTGAAGTCTCTGTGAAACAAAATTAAAGAGCGAAATACGAAATTAGTATGGTTATTTTCCATCAAGAATATCCATAGACGAATGACTGAGTACTTGGCAGTGCTAACAAGACAATCATCATATTCAACTAATGAAAAAGAAAATGTTCCGCACACTCAGGGAGTTGCTCTGATGCTATCCAAAGAAGCACACCAATGGGGAGGCAATTTCATAGACCAAGCAAATCAAAGCATTATTCGAAACAAAGAAGGTGAAAAGTACAATGAATTTTATTCGATATTGTGCACACAACGATTGAAGCAACGACGATAATAAAGATCAGTCCTACAGGAGGCTGCAATCGATCATAGCTAAGCGCTTGGGTAAGGACCTGATCACGCTGACAAGTGATCTAAACGCGAAAGTCGGAGTGGATAACAAAGGATACGAAGATATAGTGAGACGACATGGATTAAGACGAATGAACACAGATAGTACATTCAACAAGTCGGTTATCGCGGCACAATATCCTCACACAAATGCATACACCAAGTTAAATGTGCCTGAAAGGAAACGAGAAACAGGCTTATGACTCGACGATGGTGGCAAGAAAATATACTAAGCCAGAGAGACCAGTCATGGACAAAGAAGGCAAGAAATTCACTGAGGTTGAAGAACAGAGAATTAGATGAGCAGAACACTTTGAGTAACTATTAATTAGGCGAGATCCAAATGTCACTTCACCAACCATCGAAGAAATCAGGGTGGTCATCAGATAAACCGAACATCAAATTCAGAATCTTCAATACGAACGTCAAGACAGTTGTATTCTACTGAGCTGAAAAATGGAGTTCTAAAACATCCAAAACCTAAATAGCACAACTATGAGTTATTTAAGTAAATTTACTGGTCCTTGTACTAACTGTTTATTGATATGTTAATCAGCTTAAAATTACATTTGCTGAAAAATTTGTATGAGATAAATTACTATGTTCATCAAAAGGTTGATATATTCGATAGAATTTTTCATATGCGAAAGCATGAATGAAATAGGTCTACATAATCTCCTTTATTGCAAACTGACATTCCAAGGTATTGATATTCAATCTATCACCTACATATAATGTATACCATTCGACTTCACAAGCAAAACGCGAACGTCTGAAGTCAACAAGCACCATCTACCTCATGAAATTAATATGACATCGGTTTCTCACTGTCAATAGAAATTTAAACTCACTTGTGTTTAATAAAGTTATTTACATCACTCAGGTGGTCCCATAAAAGTTGGTTACCAACTGGAGACTTCGCGAAATAATCAAGCGTGAACCAGAAGTTCTCGTTCTCTCTTACCCGCTCTAAGTACCTGATGAAAAGATGGAAGAAATGTTTAGCTAAGTAGGTGTGGTGTGCTAATTTAATCATATGAACATTTACATCTGTAGAATAAAAGGATATGGGGTCAGGAATAAAGTATTGTCGATGAGATTTGTAGGCAAAATGACTGGTATTGGAGACGATTCCTTCTCTTTTCATTGTGAATTCTATCCCTTCGAAGATGTCGTATTTTAAACTCGATCTTCTCGATGATGACGAATGTGTCGTAGTCCCATTGATGTCGGTTTTGATTGTCAGTGAACGTTGTTGTCGAATTGAGAAAAATTTGTTCAGTATTAATAGATGGGTTCTAGTTGACTTTAAACATTCGTGTACTCAGAGATTTTGTGAGTGCTTTATCTTGATGATAATCATGAGGTAACTGTTGATCCACATGTGAAATTCTACTGATCTCAGTATATCCACATGGAGTTAAATTTAAGTCAATTATGATCTGAAAGCGAATTAACTGAAGTCAACAATGTAAACCACTAGGGTTTGAATCAGTGGTTCAAATTTGTCGTGTTCACTCGATGGTACATGATAGACTCCGTCCAAAAATGTGAGTGATATAGTTTCAAGAACTTTTAACCATAAATTAAGAACATGTCCCATGTTCTATTACATTTGAGGGTGCGTTGGGTAAACATTTATATAAAAACACATATCTTTCCAATTATTCAATTATAGTCATTGTCACACATAATTTCAGAAAATATCATGCAAATTTTGAGAAATCTTCGATCATAGCAAACGGATTTAGTTTCTGTGACCATATTCATTAGTTGATAGGAATGGGATTCAGAACATCTAGTCGGGTTACCGTTTTCATTAGCAGATGTGACAGTGTAATATTGAAGGTAACAGAATAACTTACCTTTTCATAATTTCTTTATCGCGAGAACACGTTAATGCCAGCATCTTGTTTTCATTCTCATTCTCATTCACAGTTTCATTAAATATCAGCTGATGTTCTAAAAATGCCCATTCTTCTTGCCCACCATGACGAATAGCTGTACAATAAGTAATGTCTCTCAAATCAGGTCGTATGCTGTAAAATAAAGCAAACGCGAACAAAAACCTTACTTTCGTTTTCAGAGTTAATTGAATTTCTTGGTATAAGATCGTCAAATCGATTTCAATATGCACGATTATTGTGTTGCGTTCATTCATATATTGCACTTTCAGATACATTTATAAGCATAGTAAGTTAGTAATATATGATTATCAATATAGCTCGGACATAATAACACTTAAATCTCCTACCAATTCCGGATGTGAATTTTCTTCATACAATCAATTTGTATTATTCCGAACGATCAAATTCGCATGTTTTAATTTGTTTCACGGTGTACTGTGAAATATAAACATGGTTTGGACGTTTTGCACCTTAATATGAATAGCAGAATCTGAGCTCAAATATTCTACCTATCATTCCGTACTCTTTGAACGCTTGTCAACTTATCTCTGGCCAATTATTTGCTCTGAATAATCGATCTCGTTAAGGCCACGAAACATCAAAAATCATAACTCATATTCGGTGGAATATCTCAACTTCAAGGTAAACCGGCTACGTTTCTTAACGATCGGTTGTGCACAGACGAAATCGAGATACATTAGATCAATGTACATTATTTATTCATTTATTTGATTTTAGCACATTGATATCGGTATAAGAAAGCATCAAATACATATGCGCCACACAAATCTCACTTGATATGTGTGAGGGCTGTGATACTGCTAGTGAGCCCAAACCAAAGCAACTAGTTAAAATGAATCCGTCATTAAGAAACAACTACCTTGGTTATGAAAAAGCGTATGACATTGAAGATAGAGGAAACAATAAAAAACCCTCTTCAAATTGTACTGTAACTGGAAGGATTTTCAGTATCAAACGGAATCCAGATTACGGATCACAATTCAATTTCACGCATGGCAAACAGCAAATGGATGAATAGCAATAGAAGGCTGAGTACTTATTCTCTTGCGCTTTCTCCCTGCATTCAAATGAAATGTGACAACAGCCATATCTCAGGAGAAGCACGGAATACATTGGACAGCCTCGATTCACTTGCAAATTTTGGAGTTAGTAGATGACTCATTCTAAACTGCATAAACTGCAGTGCGTTGTTCAGAACGGTGTAAAAAGGTCGGATCACTTAATTCGATGATTGTCCGCAAATAAAATCTATTATTCATACAAGAGAGCTATTGTTGACTGATCGACAAATCCAGGTAGCACACATCATCCGTCTACCATAGACATCAATTTTACAGCTATCCCACTACGCCCACTGACTTACAAGTTCTTCACATTCGGGAAACCATAACATTGACAAACTATTCATGCATTCGTGTTTGACCATAGCAACAAAAAGCTGATCAAACAATCTATTTTAAGCTGCCTTTTAAGAATTACTTCAAATAAAATTAAACATAATATAAAGGTCTATTATAAGGTAGTCTGTCTTATCATATAAAAATCATTAACTGCATGACTAACGGGTTCGTTTCGGGTTTCGACATCCATTGTCTGAAGAGATCCGTAGTTTTGTTCACACAAAGATGATGTTCAGCTATACAAGCGAGTTTGATCACATTATAGTCTAAACGTCTAAAATCGAGTAAATGGTGGAAGGATAGTTATGTTATACTTTAGTAAATATATACATACATATACGTTATTTGTTTATACTATTATTAGTGAGTTATGTAGACAGTTGATAGAGATAAAATATCACGGAGATGCCTGAAGATGTTCATTGAGAACAACGGTTTATCCAATGGACTCGAGATTGCTCTGATTTTGTAGCTGAAACATAATGTTTTCACGTCAAAAATGTTCCCACATGTTGCATTGTCTCGAAACCTGTCTTGTTATCTCTTTACAAAAAATTGAATATCATTAAACTCACCAGTTGGTACAACATCGACGAGCTGGTGATTTCCGTAGTTTTTGACGAAATAATTTTTTATCTTATTTTAACGGCGAACTGTTACCATTTCCATTATAATAAACTTGAAATGAAAAAGTACAACTGAGAATATCCGATTACGACCGTTTATACTACATGGAACTCAGATAACTATATTACAACAATACACCATTTACAGTTAATTAACGAGTTCTAATTACAGGAGCACACAATTTGCAGTGCACACTAACCAGTCACTTAACCCTAAATTCCTTTATTCATTACCGTTCCAGTTTGATAATATAGTTCGAACATTCCACCCCGGTTGATGAGTCTCACCCCTCTCACCGTACATTTCATTTGTTTTCGGCTACGTTTTGCTTCAATTAGCATTTCTGATAACAATACTGGCAATTTCATCATATTCTGTTGAATGTCTTTCATACACATTGTTTCAAACAAAAAGTCTTCTGAGACTATATGGGTGATATGACAGAGTGGAAACATACGAAATGGAAATATTACTACTCACATCTTTGGAAGATCTTGACCTTTACCAACAAATGACCAATTCGCTGATCGGATTCGGTTATCGATAAGAGTTCGTAAGTATGCTTGGAAATCGTCATAATTCTCATTCAGAGCAAGCACGTTATTAATGTAAAGCAGCGATCGACTGGCTGTTATCCATACAATAAACTCATCCTCGTAGTTTAAATATTTTGTTGCGTTCAAGAAATGAGTATATGGCACGATATGATGACTGACAAGGAGGCCAAAGCAAAAGAAAATAGATAATTGTGAGCTAATTGTAAAGTAAAAAATAGGCTCGAAAAAACTTGTTTGAATAATTTGTTCACAGCCGAGTCTATAGAAGTTCAATATTTCACACTCGAACTCTGTGTACACCAGAGTCATGCTCAATGATATTCTTTCATGATCTCGGCATTCCTTCGAATTTCGCAATTTTCAAGTGCTTATTAATGTCTTTTTTGTATCCTCCTGGAATAAGTAGACCGGTATGCTTAACATTTATTTTATGGATCATTAGCTCTCATAAATTCAGAATCCATTACATAAGGTGACAACCTTTTCTATATCACACAAAATCAATTCACTTTCCTCGACTCCCACATGAATAAGTTTGACTATGTTTGACAAATATTTGAAACCCCGCTATTTTACCGTAGAATACTACATTTAAAAATTAACAATAAATACGATTGCACAGCTTCCGAAAATAATATCGTCGGAAGGAAAATTTCCTTCATACTTATCGTATGACTAGTTTAGATTCGTGATTATAGAACATGAAGAGAATTTATTGAGAAGAGTATTCTTCGTTTATATGTCTGTGAAATTACTTCACCCGACATGTTATAATTTTAATCAGTATTAAATGAGTAACCAACCGACGGTGTTGACAGATGTTTCAAACAATATAGCGTATAGTGTATTTTAACTCTTTGGGATTATACTAATCTATCGTTATATTATCGTAAGGTTTATATAGATGTCTGTGAAGCTGAGTGTGAGTACTTGGGCTCCAACTGATATTTTATTTTTTATAAACATCTCGTAAACACCAATTTGAACTTTTCAGTATTCAAAACGTCTGTGTGCACAGCAAATTCACTCCAACTCATTGTAAACATTTCTAATCCAGCTTACTATACGTTACCCCAACTGCTTTGCATCTTTTGCAAACTGTTGTGCTAGTTTGCGTTTCTGAAAGAATCGATTGCGCATTATGGCTGGCAATCAATTAGAATATCCAAGTTCTAAGACGTATTTTCTTTACAGTCAGATGGTATGAAATGTCGAATACCAATTGTTTTCACGTATTGACTAACTTCCATCAATTTTCCGTGTTTTCAATCGGTATTTGGAATCAAAGTGATTAACTAGCCTGGTATTTTGTAACAGAATAAATATCAACCCAAAAAGACATCGGTTTCTTTCCACTTCACACTTACTTTGCAAGACTGAATAAGTCATTCAATATTTGTGCGCGTGAGAAGACTGGAATAGCCTAGACATGAAAAAATTACATAAAAATCGAAATGCTTTGTGAAACATCGAGTCACAATGTAAAATGCAATCCCTAAAATGAATGTGATTTCAAAAGGATCACATCTTAGTTTGTGTCACTAAATGACGAGCTGAAATTAGAAATTAACAGCCTAAAGCGAAATTCGATATATTTTGACGTACATATTCATGTCTCTATAGGTTTTCATTCATACACTACTTCCATATATGTCTGACTGTTAACATGTATTAATACATCTTTATTCTTACATCATTTGACATGCTGTAAATATTGCATGACATATAATATTCCCTCTCACTTCGTATGTCTGCCACTAAACTTCTACACAGTACGTAATCTTACGGGTTAACAAAACGGGTGACATGTTGATTTAATTCTTTCACGTTCTCCACTTTATACATTGCTATTTGCGTTCTTATATTTTCATGATAGATCTCAGCAACTATCTCCAAGTTTAACAAGATCTACTCCAAGAGAGCAAACTACTGAGGAGCATAACTAGAAGAACAATAAAGAAGCACTAAATTCAACGGGCCAGTTGCTCAACCACAAAAATCATCATCACAAGTCATAGAACTCTATCTGGCTTTTGTTACAGCACTTTGAACAACACTGTAATAGACCAGTTCAACAGAAACAACTGGACATCGAAGCTGCAATGTCAGCCAGCATACCAACTAATACGTTGAATTCAGGCACAGAAATACCTGCGAACGTGCTCTAGGTTCTATTACAATGATTTCAACACAGTGTTGTTGAATCGATCATGAGACTCAGTAGACTACGAAATTGGAGATCGACATTCTGGATTTCATAGGGATCGTTTGTGTGCAAACGAAATCGCAAAGATTGCAGATAGAAGTTGGACAATCAACTGAATGAAACTCGTCACTATACATTATATGTGATAACTAGAGATCGGTTGACATGGCTTCATAAAACCACTGGGTTGTGGATAAGATAAAACTGAAGCCGAAGTAAAGATGGACAACTGTATAAACAGCATTGAAATATCCAATGCATTATTTCTAGTAGATGCTGACAACCTGAACGAATTAAAAATGAATCTCACTAATGTATTTGAAGGTTTGAAATTCTACTCAGGCACTAGGAAACTATCATAGGGAACAGCTGAAAATGAGGCAGTAACTTTGACACGCCTGGAGTTGCTGGGCCGCAGGATACCTAATATTGCTGTTTCTCTTCCTTCCAGCAGTCAACTGAAATGTGGATACAACCGCGTATCAGGAGAAGCAGAGAACACATTGGACAGCCTCGATTCACTTGGATATTATGATATCAGTAGATGACTCAACTCTTTCATACCATGCTTACCAACAATCCAGGTGAAGACAGTCAGTGTAGCAGCAGCCTCTACAGCAGTAGGCCTCAACACTCATAAAAAGACTAAGCAAGATCCTCAATAGAATCCTCAATACAAACATCGAGACGGTTCTAGTGTGCTGAGCTGAAAATCGCAGAACTGCCATAGTCATCATCAAAAGCTACATGTGTTCATAAACAGTTGTCTGAACAACAGAAACAGAAAAACAAAATAACTTCCATCTGAATATGAAAGCACGACGAGATTTTGGAGGTGGGTACGACAAGCATTGTGTTAACCATCAGACGAAATATCGAGACAATCACACCAAATCCGGAAGGCAAGAGGTACAGAGGAAGATGAAAGAACACGTTGCGTCGAGAATCGGAGGCATATATCGAAAGAATGGGAAGCGATTGACGACGAGGCTAGGATAGAATAGTTTGGAGAGTCCTAGTTGGCAGCCAAAGCTTTACCGAGCATTGTCAGGCGACAGAAATTTAGTGTGTAATTATATAAGTAAGTAGGTAAGTAAGTAAACACGTAAGCATTCGAGTAGATAATCAAGTAGGTAAGCAAATATTTAAATAACTAATTACGTTAGAGCGTCCTTATGTCAAATTACAAAAATTTATTTTACATGTCGTTCCATATGTTTAGTTGGTAAATGGTCATGCCGTCTGACTTAAGAGGTGCTGTGTTTCATATGAATTCACTTTAAGACAATGATTAAAGTTGGATATTCACAATGAACAAAGATTCATTCTCACTAGTTTATATTGAAATATCTTGTATCGCTTATCACATTCTACAAAATTTATCCTCATAATTATGCTTATTCATCAATTTACATGGTACTAACAAGATTATATTTAAAATATTTGATAGAATAGTTATTTATAACAAAGAGAAACACAAGTGTTTTGAACAAACCGTGAAATTCCTTTGCAATTGGTTGATTAATAAGATCCAGTTATTGTCAGCGTAGTGAACCCGATAAAATCCTCCTTGTTTCACATTCACCAAGTACCAGTCGTCTGAGCTTATGTTCATTGTTTGATTCATTTTTTCTTGTGGAAGCGAGGAATAATCAAATAAGTCACTAATATTATAATATTAATTATATTTTTATTATATTATTATTATGATTTAAACAGTTAAAGCTGAATGAGTGCGTGGAGTTTAAGTAATTATTTTCACCTCATCAATTTAATATTGAAGAGACGATAAACGTTTTCTTCTATGTAAGGTTAGAAACATGACTCAGTATAAATTAGTACTACACATGTTGGATAGGACAACCATGTTCTCATTGTCGAGGAAGGCTCGTCAAACCGACTATCTAGCCTCAGAATGTGACGCGAAGTATGTACAGGTATGTGAAGCATAATAATCATTTATACTAATGAAAACGGCAAAATGTTATTTCTTACTGTTCACCATCCACACAATATCGACATTTGTCCAGTTCACCGTTTGTGCCGACCCATAAGTGATCGGTATTCTCCAGGAGTATCTGAATGAATCAAAGCGCATAATAATGAACATTAAAAGCTATCAAACTATAAATATAATAATCAAAAACAGGAAGTTTGATCGAGTACCATAACAAAACACATGTTGATAATGCTAGTTGATCGATAGAGGTGAAGTTGTATTTCGAATTCAAGTACATAGAAATATCGGTTAGTTTAATCCACTACCAAGTATCCCTTCTACAATGTACTTTTTATCGACCTCCAAAATCTTTTCTCTAATTTCCTCTTCATTCGAATGATGGTTTGTTGTCTCCCGATGTAAAGTGCTGCTGATTGTATTTGGTCAACGGACAGTGAGCATCTTGTGCAGACGACTGTTAACAAATGCTTGTACATTTTTGATGATGGTTTGGTAGTTCTCCGCGTTTCCGCTCAGTACAACAGAACTATTTCGACGCTTGTATTCAACATTCTGACCATGATGTTTGCTTACATACCTTTGTTCGGAGTCCCATATTTACTTCAACTATAAGAACGTAGTCCATGTTTTGCCAACCCTCGCCCAAATGTCTGCAGCAAGCCCTCTTTGGTTATCGATGATGATGTCCAGGTACATGGAGGTTTCCACATTTACTGTCACTTTTCCGAAACCCTCATACATAATCGTTATATCAGTGTTACCGAATGCTTAAGAAAACGAGAGGCCACGACACGAATTACAAACACCGGGATCGGCGAACTCGAAGATCAATTAACCCGAAAATATAACAACGATCGTAGTCGAAAAGACATTCACCATACATTGATCGTACGCCCATTTCGTTTAACGATTGGAATAAAATCACATGAACGAACAACACAGAGAAGTTCAACAAATCACATGCTACATTTCATGTTGAGCAGAGGTTATTTTAATTTCATACGAGTATATCGTATCTTGAATGAACACCACGCTGAAACAAATTATTGTTATGTCGAATAAAATATTACACTGGAAAATTAAAACAATAATACACCTATTAAGAAACGGAAGATATGATGGTTGAAAATCACAATGAGTCAAACTTGATTTCGCCTTTTTATCTCGTCATATAAGTTGGAAAATTGCAATGATTTAAGATAACCTATTGAAAATGTAGTGAGAGCGATACAGCAAATAATTCACTTGCGAAATGTCAATCAATTGTCTCAAACTTCATTATTTCTTCATTTTCAAACTAATCATTCTCTGTTCACCTTCTCTTCTCTTCGATCTTGGTAACATTCCGCTCCAAGGCATTCACTTTCACTTGATGGTACGTCCTAATTATATCTATCGACACCAGTATCACTCAACACGATAACAAATGTTGCATACATCAAAAACTCACTTTTCTTCATATACAATCCCTGAATACGGATGTTGTCTAAATTAATACATAGTTCACTTACTCACGATTTGTTTGAGATGAATTGTTACCATAGTGTTGAAAGTAACGTATCTGCTCAAAACTGAACACATTCGACCCATTTCTCTTTACAATCACTAGTGGATAATTCCTTTGTTTAATCCATGAATCCATAATAAATCCAATGTCCAAATGATTTCCTTGAGTATTCCATTCCTAATTTCCAATTAAAACGAAATTTTGATTAGGTTATTGGCCTTATACTTTTAATAAATAAGATTACAGCATCGCAAATGCTTTTGTGTTTCACTGATCTGAGGCGTGTTTCGAGGATAGTGGTGGATATAACTGAATGAAATACAGTTAAATTCACTCATTGTTTAAGACCATTCACTATAAGTTCATTTGTTGGGAATATAGTAGGTGTAGTAATAATTTAATACAGCATGTTCAAGCATGATCACGTACGCAAACTGATTATTGAGGTTCTACCACTGTAATTACAATCGATGGAATGAGTCAATGGATGAAACTCCAACTACTACTAACATAGAGTCTGGTGTTTTTTCAGAATAACATCAAAGAATAAGTAGGAACAGTGTGTGCGAACAGATAGTACATAGGAATTTGAATCACGGAATTATTGATTTGATGATACCATAAATATTTGCGCGCTATTTAAAAAGGACAGTGGTATTTTTCCTCGCTGAGTAAATTTCATTGTTTTGATCGTTTATTACGTATCAAGACTACTGTTTTCACTTTAACTGAATTCATTTCAGTTAAAGTATTCGACTAGAGTACCGTTTTTACCGTTCTCTCAATTAGTTTTGTCGTTGGTACTCTTGAGTACTTCATTTTCAATTGTATCTGTTAGTACTTTCGGTCCTAACAATCTACAGTTCTTCATGTTTTGGTCATCGATTATTTATTACAATTGAGGTTTGACGCTGGCGAAAAGGACATAAAAATTGTAAATTTTTGGGTTGTGAGGCTTCGACAGAGAATGATGCCGAAGCCACTTAAATAAGCTTCGGATCTGCTACACAAATGCCCGGAGCTTACTTATTAAGCGATGGGAACTAGGTGTACAGATTGACTTTACAAAGCCAGACATAATCGCAGTTACAGAAACCTGGCTGACACAGGCTATAGATAGTATGGAACTTGTTTTCGAGGGTTTTACTTTAGTAAGGGCCGACAGAACACAAAATCGCAAAGAAGAGGAAGTAGCTCTATTCATTAGGAATGCTATCCCATTTGCCATTATCGACAGTGTATCCCATGAGAGTGGGACGTGTGAATTAGTTAGTTGCCGCTTGAAATGCAAGGGACAAGAGCTGCTGATTGGTTTGGTTTATCGCAGTTCAAGCTGTGAGGTAAAGACGTCCTGCTAAGCAGTCTCAATACTTGGTCACAAAGTGGTCCATGTCTAATCCTAAGGGACTTTAATGCACCTATGGTAGACTGGGAAAATCTGCTAACTGAATCGTCAGAAAATTCCTCCGAGCAGGAACTAGTTGATGCGGTTATCACATGTGCTTTAGTGCAACATGTGAAAGAAGCGAGTAGGTACGACCCGGATACTGAATCATCCTTACTAGATCTGATACTCACTCACTATGTGGGTGACGTTGCTAACCTTCATCATATGCCACTCCTAGGTAAAAGTGATCACGCACTTTTAATTTTCGACTTCCATATAACTGTCAGTCACGAGCACGCGTCAGCCCAATCCAGACCTAAAGTCTGGAAAGCAAATATACCGGGTATCATGCACTAAGCATCTTTAGTAGATTGGACAATAGACACAGAGTCCTCAGTTGAAACGGCCTGGGACGCATTTCGAAATTCATACCTAAAAGTTACCACACCCCACATCCCTTGGACTATACCAAGGGGGCCGAGAAACTCCCCACCATGGTTCAGTAGGAAGGTTCGCATCCTTCTCCGTAAGAGAAGAAAAATGTGGGATAGATTTTGGTCACTGGAAACTGATGAAACTAAATCTCAGTATAGAAAAGTCCGGAATACCTGTACCTCGACCCTCCGTAAGTCTAGAAAGTTGTACGAAGAAAATATTGTTAAGGAATCCATAGAATGTCCTAAACGCTTGTATTCTTATATAAACCAAAGGACAAAGAGAAGAGGAAATATTCCTGCTCCATGGGGAGACAGTACTGCCGAGTCACTAGTGGAGGACGACTTTGGTAAGGCTCAAGTGTTCTCAAACTACTTCAGCAATGTATACACCACAGAAGCACCCTTCCCATCAGCGCATACAGATCCCCCACACATACACTGGATAGCGTGACCATTAAAGGACTCGATGTCTTTGGTCTACTAAATAAGCTTGACATAGGTAAATCCACGGGGCCCGATGAATTACATCCTAAGCTACTGAAGGAATTATCTAACTTCGTTGTGAACCTTTTAAGTATATGCTTTAACCTATCCGTAACGCAGGGTCGTTTACCAAAAGACTGGAAAAACGCCATAGTAAGTCCTGTCTTCAAAACAGGTACGAAACACAAACCTGAGAATTACCTACCCGTTAGCCTAACTAGTGTGGTTGTTAAAATCTTAGAAAAGATTATTCGGGAGGAGCTGTTTGAGTACCTCAATGAAAACCAGATCTTCTAGGAGAGTCAGAACAGTTTCAGAATAGGTTATTCTTGTCTCACTAACTTATTAGCCGCTCGTGAAGGCTGGTGCGCTCTTAAGGACCAAAAGTCACCTGTAGACGTAGCCTTCATTGATTTCAGCAAAGCTTTCGACAAGCTTCCGCACCACCGGCTGTTATATAAGTTAAGAAATGTCGGGATTGGAGGCAATCTATTTATGTGGATAGAAGACTTCTTAGTTGGGCGTCAACAAAGAGTTCGGGTGAACTCAAAGTTATCTAGCTGGGAAACTGTGCTTGGTGGAGTGCCCCAGGGTATAGTTTTAAGGCCAGTGCTGTTCCTCTTGTATGTAAATGACCTTCCTTGTCTCCTATCATCATCGGTCTTGCTATATGCTGGTGATGTCAAGATATGGAGAACGATACGATGTAAGAGTGATAGCTCAGAACTTCAAAATGATCTGAAGAAATTATCTGAATGGTCTCAAACCTGGCAGTTGCTGATAAATACTTCCAAGTATGTTGTGATGCATATCGGTCATCAAGGTACAGATACATACACGATGAATAACACTGAGCTGCCTGTCGTCCAGACATATAATGACTTAGGAGTTATCATTAGTCAAGACTTAAAGACTACTGCACACAGCCGTGCAATAGCCGCCAAAAGTTTTAGAACGTTATGGTCAATACGTAGAGCTTTTAGTCATGTCGACGCTAAGACGTTTTTGACTTTGTATACAGTGTTCGTTCGTCCTAAACTTGAGTACTGCATACAAGCGGCTAGCCCCTGCTTAAAAAAAGACAGTGAGCTTCTGGAAAAGGTTCAGAGAACGGCATCCAAGCTGATTCCCGGAATAGCGAAGCTTCCGTATGAAGATCGACTGGCCAAACTAGACCTTTTCCCGTTGTCATATCGCAGAACTGGAGGCGACTTGATTACAGTTTTCAAACTGCTTAGTGCCAAATTTGCACCTGATATGCCCTCATTTTTCTTGTCTTCCAAAACAGAGAATTTACGAGGACACTCCAAAAAAGTTCACAAGCCAAGAACAAATTACTTGTCAGCTGACTGTCGCCTTTCCCATCGAATCATCAACGAGTGGAACTCATTACCTCAGCACGTGGTTGAGGCTCCATCCGTCGATTCTTTCAAAAGAAAGTTGGATCAACTGAAAGACCACCATTGCCAGGACTAACACAGGCCATCAGGCCTCCTGTCCTTCCCAAGCTGAAACTGAAACTTTTGAAATATATTTCAAGGCGACTATTCTGTTCAGTAATAACAAAATGCGTGACGATCAGGAGAAATTATGAAAAGAACTCAACAACAAAATGCACTACACCAAATGTTTTTGTATTAATGTAATAATCACCAAATGCTTACTTCAGATAATGCCTTCCATAAATCCTTTTCATCTGTGTTCTTATATTGGTTTTGAATTAAGTATCTCTTAAACAAACACAGAAAAACGTATTATATAAGGCATTTCCGGATTTCAATTTGCAAGTTATCATGAATTTAATCATAGGATTTAAGCTTAGACAGAACACATTACAGCTCAGTGTTGTGTCTCTGCATTCTTCCAGAATATCACCCACAATCAAAATAAGATTCATGTTGAAGTGAGGTTGTTGAACGCCATAGAAATAACCGAACTTTACCATCTAAAATCCACAAATCAGTTATTGTCGGTGTTCTTTATCACTGATTCGGTTTTGTTATAGTATACTAATGTCCCTTTCACATGGCTGTTAGACCATTAAAAACGAGAAGTTCAGCCAATGGACACTTTTCAGTAAAATTATGATCAAGCTATATATATATATATATATATATATATATATATATATATATATTTATGAATAAAATATTAAGCAGCAATCCGGTGAGTATATATGGATAGAGAATAAACACGACGATTTAATGGATGATCGTTCAACTAGTGTCCTTCAAAATTTCACATACACTGATCTCTCTTATCATTATGAACACCAAACGTTTGAAGTGATCACGATAAAGGTACTCCAAAATAAATTTTCTATTTTCCAAACCGATTTTATATTCAGAAATAATCACTCACCTTAGTGCAAGTGACGACCAATGGTGACAGATATACTGTACATAATTAGGTGGGATACAATCTCAACCAACGATCTATCAGATATAATGGTGAGTGAAGTCTGTTTAGCATAATTTGTTTGTAACGACATTGACACCGATGATATAAAATATTTTACTGATTTAGCTACAATGAATATGGTTTATGAGTTGGTCAGACAACATTTAATTTTAAAAGCATTTTCCATTTGTTCATGACGACATACGAGTTCAAGTTTTTTTATTAAGTAGAGTGTCTGTTGATAAAAACTTGTTATAGCGTTTCAAGGAATACTTGTGTTGATGACTGTAGTGATCAATCATTACTGGGTTCTGTTAAGTTACGTCATACTGAGTTATAGCTAAGCAAATGATATGAGGACTCTCCGTATTGGAAAGTCTCGAAGAGAACTTTGAAAATACTTAGTCAACGAAAAGAAATCAGTTCATCATTGAATGTGATCGTTGAGACTAGATTCTATGATACTCAGTTACAACAAAATAATCACTGTCAACGTACTTTTAAACCGTTTTGAAACGCACTACGGCCCATGAATTTCTCCATCATCCAAACCAAGGAGGCGCCCTGTGAATTATTGAATGCAATGTAGAATATTAACATATATATAAAACACGCAATGAATGTGTAGGTAAGTTAGATTGATCAGCCAGTTAACTTTTGTCCAGTCGAAGATAGGATGCAACAAAGTCAAGATACACCTAAGAATATTATTGTTTTCGAATAGAATATGTCACATGGTTGAACACTGAATACTTTCGCATTATAATGGATTCACACAAAGTGGAAAATTACGTGTACTATGGTTTGGTTGATTCACGTAAGAACGTTGGAGAATTATAATCACGTGTAGATTGTTTCATAATACTGAATTAGAAGTCGTTTCATTTACTTGGTCTAACAAATGTTATGCAATCATTCAGGTGGTGACTGTTTCTATCGTGTAAATAAAATACTGATTTTCGTACTCTTAACCTAGATATAAGGTTCAAGTTTAAACATCACTGAAAATTTGTTGTGTAACCTTGTTAAAACATACACAATTCTGTTAATTGCAAATATGAAAGAATAATGAACTTCATGATTTCGAATGTTAAGAGTGTACTCAAATATTCGGATACATCAATCACTTCCACAGCATTACTTATGACTTACTTACTTACTTACGCCTGTTACTCCTCGTGAAGGAGCACAGGCTGCTCACCAGCATTCTCCATCCCACCCTGTCCTGGGCAATCCTTTCCAGCTCCTTCCAGTCATTATTCATACTTTTCATGTCTGCTTCAATTTCCCGACGTAATGTGTTCTTTGACCTTCCTCTTTTGCGCTTACCTTCAGGATTCCAAGTTACAGCTTGCCTCGTGATGCAGTTTGATGATTTGCGTAATGTATGTCCTATCCATTTCCAGCGTCTTTTCCTAATTTCCTCTTCAGATGGAAGCTGTTTGTTCTCTCCCACAGAAGGCTGTTGCTGATGATATCCGGCCAATGGATATTTGAGTATCTTGCGAAGACAGCTATTTATAAATACTTGTACCTTATTGATGGTGGTGGTTGAAGTTCTCCAAGTTTCAGCTCCATACAGTAGAACTGCCTTGACGTTCGTATTGAAGATTCTCACTTTCATATTGGTTAAAAGTCGTTTTTAGTTCCATATGTTCTTCAATTGTAGGAATGCGACCCTTGCTTTGCCAATCCTTGCCTTTACATCTGCATCTGATCCTCCTTGTTCACCGATTATGCTTCCCAGTTATGTGAAGGATTCTACATCTTCCAGAGTTTCGCCATCAAGAGTGATTGGATCGCTGTTCTCCGCTTTGAATTTGAGGACCTTGGTTTTCCCCTTGTGTATGCTGAGGCCTACTGATGCAGAGACTGCTGCTAAACTGGCTGTCTTTATCTGCATTTGTTCATATGTATGCGATAGGAGGGCCAGGTCATCTGCGAAGTCCAAATCGTCTAATTGATTCTGAGCTGTCCATTGTATGCCGTGTTTTCCCTCAGATTTCGAGGTCTTCATAGTCGAATCCGGTGTCCATCTTGTTGTGTTAATGAAGTATGGAATCTTGGACCGATGCATAAATGTGCCTGGTCCTACATTGTAGCTGACTGACTGACTCTTCATAATCCAGTCGATCACCAGAAGAAAGAGGAAGGGGGAGAGTAGACAGCCTTGTCTGACTCCGGTCCTTACTTGGAATACATCTGTCAGCTGCCCTCCATGCACGACCTTGCACTGTAGTCCGTCGTATGAGTTCCGGATAATATTGACAATCTTCTCAGGAACTCCGTAGTGTCGAAGAAGTTTCCATAACGTTCTCCCATCCACACTGTCAAATGCCTTTTCATTATCAATGAAGTTGATGTATAGTGACATGTTCCACTCAACTGATTGTTCGACGATGATCCGTAGTGTTTCAATCTGGTCTGTGCACGATCGATCCTTACGGAATCCAGCTTTTTTATTTCGAAGTTGGGCGTCTACTGCATCTTTCATCCGGTTCAGCAACACTCTGTTGAAGACTTTCCCTGGTATTGACAGTATTGTAATGCCTCTGTAGTTTTCACATTTGCTCAGGTCTCCTTTCTTTGGAATCTTGACGAGGTGCCCTTCTTTCCAGTCCATCGGCACTTGTTCCTCTGCCAAATCTTTTTGAATAGAAGGTGAAGCATGTTTGTAGTTACTTCGATGTCTGACTTCAGTGCTTCAGCTGGTATGTTGTCCGGTCTTGCTGCTTTCCCGTTCTTGATTTGTCTGATGGCCATTGTAATTTCTTCAGTCGTTGGTGGGTTGACATCTATAGGAAGATCTGTGTGTGTTGCTTCGATGCCAGGTGGATTCATTGGAGCCGGCCTATTCAGGAGTTCCTCGAAGTATTCTACCTATCTGTTCCGCTGTTGTTGAATTTCAGCGATTGGCTTGCCTTCTTTGTCTTTGACCGGTCTCTCTGGTTTACTGTATTTCCCTGCTAGTTTCTTCGTTGTATCGTGAAGCTGTTTCATATTTCCTTCCCTTGCAGCTTTTTCTGCCGTCGTTGCTAGTTCTTCTTGTCGGCTCTAATGCTCAACTTCACTTGTTTGTTTGTTTCTATGTATTCAGCTTGTGATTGGACTTTCTCTGCTCGTGTTCGGTTGTTGTTAATTGCTACCTTCTTGTTCTTCCTTTCTTGGATCTTGTCCAGAGTTTCTATAGAGATCGACTCCTTATGATGGTGTTTCTTTAGGCCCAGAACCTCTTGACACGTTGAAGTTAATGCTTATTTGATGCCTTTCCAGCTTTCCTCCATAGTAGTTTCTTCTTCCTTCAGTAGATTCTGTAAGGCTTGGAACCTGTTGTTGAGAGCTATATTGAATTCATTGAGTTTGTTAGTATCTCGAAGGAAGGCTGTATTATACTTTTTTAGTGCTGTTTGTCCAGTTGTCCAGTTCTCCTTCAGCTTTAGTTTTAAATTGGCCACAACTAAGTGGTGTGGTGATCTGAAGCTACGTCAGCACCTCTCCTGGTTCTCACATCTTCCATTGTCCTTCCGAAATTTTTATTGATGCAGATATGATCTATCTGGTTCTCTGTGGTATGGTGCGGTGAGATCCATGTAGCTTTGTGTATACAATTTTGTGGAAATATTGTGCCACCTATGACCAATTTTTCGAATGCACACAAATTTGCAAATCTTTCTCCATTTTTGTTCCTCCCTCCCAGTCCATGTCGTCCCATGATATCTTCATATCCAGTGTTGTCTATTCCGACCTTGGCATTTAGATCTCCCATCAGAATGGTGAGGTCCTTTCTTGAGCATTTCTCTATGATTGACTGCAGCCGCTTGTAGAATTGGTCTTTAATGTCGTCGTTGCTATCATTGGTGGGTGCATAACATTGGATAAAATTCATTAAGATCCCCTCTTTCTTTGTTTTGAATGATGCTTTGATGATTCTGGATCCGTGAGATTCCCATCCTACAAGTGCATTTCGTGCTACTTTGGACGGCATTAGAGCGACTTCCTGAGTGTGTGGAGCATTTTGCTCTTCGTGACCGGAGTATAGTAGCATCGCTCCCGTAGCTAGCTTTTTCTGTCCAGCTTGGGTCCAGTGGGTTTTGCTGATTCCCAGTACTGCCAATTTGTATCACCTCATTTCCGTTGCTATTTGACTGGTCTTCCCGTTCCCCCACAAACATTTTTGCTCTGGTTTTTAGAAGTGGCATCGGCCTCGTGGCTTTCGAAGGAACTCGGCTTTCACCATGAAGCGTCATAATTCTTCTAAATGAAGACCTAACTCCCAGGGCAGAGTTGAAATGGTTTGAATAATTTTTTCTGGTAAGCGTTTTTATAGCGAGTTAGTTTTCCACGGGATGGAGACGCTTACCTCATGCCCAACCCTCCTACCTTACCCGGGCTTGGGAACGGCAGTAACTCTAGAAGAGCTACAGGCGGGATAGCTGATGATATTTTCCACAGTTAATATATCACCATCTGTTTGAGTTCGTTTATTGTTTCACTTGTTCACCGAATTCAGTTCAGTTTATTCAAGCACGTTATTGACATAAATATACATTGGGATGCTATACGGATTTATAGTGTGAAATTTGAAGGTTACGTTTATCTTGAAATGAACAATTGTAGTAGTAGTCATGGTAATCGTGTTTAGATTGATATCTGAATTCAGCAGTGTGGAAATTTGAGAAGATTGTAGTATTTTTACAGTTGAACTCATGAGTCGACTTAAGTTAAATCACTACTGAATACATGTGAGCACTGGATGGTCGGTTGGTCCTACTATAGAAATCCTCAGTAGGTCTTTCAGGTTTTTGATGGTGGTCGAGCTCAGATCGACCCTTGAATTCAGCTATGAAAATCCGATCTGTTGCCTCAGTCTACTAAAAGTGCTTTTATTAAGGTTGACATGACGAAAAACATATCATTATTCAAATGCCATTGTATTAGAACATTGGAACACATTTAACACTTAAAGTTACTCGTTGAGAGAAATATCATTCTTCTGCTTGATATCATGATTTCTTTGAAGATCATTAAAATAGAATGAAAAATTTAAATACAACATTTGAAGAAAATGAACAGCCAATACACAACTGACCTTATCATAGGTGATTAAATCAAACATGGTTATAATTCGTATTGCAGTATTAGCTGGATAAATGACTGGTCTTGATAACATCAAAGTATCAACATCAAGTGCAAGCATAAATTCATCCAGTATGAATAGTTCATCCTATTCATCGAAGAAAAAAATCGTCTTTATTGATAAGAATACTATACAGAACATAATCACAATGTGTACTAGATTTGTTCAAACATTCGCTATTATTTAGTAAAGGGTCATTAGTTATCTCAGTATTTGTGAATTCTCCAAGCGCCATCTGAAAACTGATTAAATTCTTCCTTCTTATTACAGAGTGAATTCAAACAATGCCCACTAATTGAATTAAAATCAAATTACCATTTTGGATGAACGAAATAGAGTTCTAGTAAATCTTAAATTTTAAGAATATATGTAATTTGCTAAACATTCTGTGTATGTGTTGTTGAGCAATGCAAAACTTCGTCTATAAATACCCGCTTCTATGCAGCATGTACAGGTTATATGAAAACAATTTCTGAAATGACAAGTGACATGTGCAAAATGAAACAGCGAACTGATAATATCCTCAAAGAAAACACTCAACTTACTACTTTCCACTCAGGATGTAGTAACTGTACTCCGATGTATTCGAAAAATGTTGCGAAGCCTTCGTTCAACCACAAGTTATCCCACCATTTCATTGTCACCAAGTTTCCTAACCACTGAAAGAAAAGTGTTTAAGTTGAAAATTGATAAACGTAGCATATTTGGATTGCTCAATCGATTTCGATATTTACATGAGGTCATAAACTTATATTGTTAAAAATGATTCTTGTAGATTTTGATGACATCTTATATTCCGTTCCTGAATACCAGTTGCAAAGGAATTCTGAATGGTGTAGTGAAAATGAGTAACTCATGGAGTTCAACTACAACTTGTGAGAAATGATTACATAGGAGCAGTAATTGTGTTATATTTACAATATAACCACATGTAAAATAGCGAAAATAGTGACTCGGCTTGTCAGTAAACCGAATTTGGGTAATAATGACATATGAGGTGATGAATGAGCAACAAACATTTAAGAAATCGCTTGAATTATTAGAATAATCATTTTACTTAACACATCTATCAACAATGAACAACAAATGAATAGATTTAGAAACCTGTATTATTACAGTCCAACTTAATGCAGTAAACAAAACTAGCTAGCCAGAAATCTCAGATATCCTGTGTGTTGTCATTGCTGCAGTCGAAAACCACAATGTATCAGTTTTCGTTCGTTTTCCAAGTAGTGTAAGTTTATTATCCGAACGATCTTTAAATTAAAGAGATATAAAGTGAATTTAACATTTCGTTCTTCGTTTAAAAGCATACCTGATGAGCAATTTTATGTGACACAGAAAAAGTCACTTCAAGTAGGGTATTTACTGAACCGTTTTCTGCGTCCCATATCATTTTATTTTCATCATAAGTGATCAAACCCCAGTTTTCCATTGCCGTTATTGAAGAGTTAGGAATCGCAATCATATCTGAAAATATGATGGAAGATATGTTTCAAATGTAAACGGTTCTTATCACATACATACGTACATACAAATATACCTATATAAATACATATATACGTACATACACTGTTGTGCATGCCTAATAAAAAGGAATACTTATGCACATCAATATGTATGCAAATATTTACCCCAGTTAAATGGCTGAATACTTTCGTTTTGGATGTGGTTATTTGTTCTCTGAAGAAGTGACTTACATTGAGTCACGATATATCAGAAAATTTAATGTTTCTACCCATTGGAATATTACAAATGTATTATTTATTTATTGAATATATTTATTATGATTCAGTCCACTCCAGTTCAAAATATAATTAGCGTAATTAAACTAAAATTGGATTTGGTTGATCATGCATCCCTTTCAGTTATTTAGACCTTATTGTTTGGTTGCATAGTTTACATTGTACAGTATTTAATTACACATATATTAAACGTAAACACATTTGTGTGAAATACCTACCCATTTTAGGAAGTGAATAGGGAATGCCAAAATAATCTTCAAAGTATCCCAATAATTTTATGCCAATATCAAGTGCATATTCAGCTGATCGAATTTTATCCGGTCTTGCCCAAACAGTGAACTAAATGAAAGAATTATTTTATCCAGAAATGAATCATTCTTATGAAAAACTTTAATGAACTTCAAGTCATTATTGCTACAATCTGATAGAAGAGACTGTTTTCAGTGTCACGAGTGATTCAACCACTTTGATTTGATTGAAACACAGAGAACTCAGCATTGTTAAAACAATGGCTCGTACCATCAAACAATACTTGTGCTTTTGAATACTTGAATGGAACATCCTCTATTCAGGTGTTCTGTTTTAGTTTCTATCATCACTGTGGTGTTGCAAGCGTGTTCACATAACTTCGAAACATCGAGGAACTGCTACTGCTTCACATTGAGTACTGGTATGTATGTAACGTGGATCTATGTATATCCCTAACCGTCTCGAATAATCGGTTGCATGCAATCTCATGGTGGTTCTTCCTGGATATACGTGATTTCGATACATTACAAAAGTATTTCATGGAGAGTTACAAAAACTTTTGTGTAATTGATAACACTCACGTTTCGTCCTCTATTGTCTGTCCTCTGAATATTCGAAAACTGTGAAACCACAAACGCCAACAGATATGTGGACATTTTCACACTGGTGTTATACCTGTCGACACGCCAATTATCGTACAACACTTCCGTACTTTCCAAATTCATGTTTGAAAGCGAATGGAAATTTTTGTCGCGTACAATATTGACCTGAAAGACACAAACGTGAGAAATTTGTTCTCGAATAATAAGTGGCATGTCTAACCAATTGAAACAATTCAAGATTCTTATCGTGCTTATTTAGCAATATATCATATAACCACATGGAAATCCATAACTCATGTGTAACTAACTTTCTAACTGACGTGAAGGATTAATCATTAGACAATCGTGGACTTGTTGTCTGACTGAAACATGTTGCATACTGAATAGGCTATATGTTCATATGATCTTGAGTGCCATCTGCGAATGCCTGATGTTCACCTGAAGTTTTCGTCACATATAAGTAATGAAACAAATAAAAATATGCTCCCATTTAAGACTTATGAACTTTGATTACCTAATCATGGTTTATGGAGAGCTTTGTGGTAACATGTAGATGGTAGGGAGTATTGTAACTCAATTCTGTACATTGATTTGATGCAAGAAATCTATTGCTGTCATTATATACGCTAACGTTTCAGAAGAGAATACGTTATTTCAAATTGACGCTGTTTGTATTCGACCGGGTTAATTCCAGTAAACTCTCATAAGAACATTGTACATCGGTTTTAGTATATGTGCCTTTTAACAGATAACCAGTTGCCTTTAAACAATATGATATACATCATCAAATTTTGAAGTGTGTTGGTAAAACGAGGTCATGAACCGATTTAATCAATTTAACCAATAATGTGTTTCGTAACATGACTGACATATGCTAAGCTCATCACTACCACCAATTAGGTGTTCGCATATCACACACACAGCATTTAAATCACGAAGCATCACTTGGTTCAATAATTTTGCATTTTAATAAACTGACTCCGATTCACAACAGATCACAAATCATACGGAAAATTATGAAAATGAAATAAAAGTCAAATATATCATACCTTGAAATTTGCTTTAAATTCCGGCTCATCCCAACATGGAAATACATTCCTTGCATAAATTGACTCCATGTAAGTACTTGCCAAGTATCTGAAATATATGTATAACGGTGAACATTTTTTTACAAGTACATATCTCATTTCCGATAGTTGGTGCTTAAAAATGTGCTTTCGAACGGAGAGAACCGTCCCGAAAGAAATATCCTGCCCAACATGTCACCTGTGATTTCTGACGAGTTACCATTCATATGGTCCACTTACTTCGGTAAGTCATTGTGTCATTCACTGTGTTGCTCAGTACATCTACACAATCATATTTTCGTTGACGTGAAAAGTTTTGACTCATGTTCGATGACTTGTGAATTTGTTATCATCACGTTTATACGCTATTTGGAATAATCCACATTTATTATTTTATATTGATAAGGCAGCGAAAATTCACCAGTCTTTCTAAACCTTCCAAAGATTATTAGTTATCGGTATTTATGTCTCTATGGAAAACCAAATGGAATTGTAAACCATGTAATAATACTGATCATAGTTACGATATGATGACTACAGGACATTTCACACATCAGTAGACACACATTGTGTTCCTAGAGAAGAATTTTCATTGTCGAGTTAGCACTGAATAAATGCATCTCTAACCAAAACACAGTGAGCAAATAAACGTGTATTCTGAAGTGATTGTTAAGTGTTGATCATCACTGTTCAAGCATGTATGCAAATAATTGTGTTATTTGCGGTCACCATTGTGTTGGTACCCGATACCAAATAAATCTGCACATATATGTCTTAAATCGAGACTCACTTGTAAATCCCATTTTCCAAATATTTGATAATATACAGTCCATCAGAATCATAGTCCATATCAGAACGAAACTGTCCAAATGTCAGGTTGTAATAAGTATATTGTTGCAAAGGCGTTTTGAGTTTAATTCGATAACACTCAGCATCTTCAATATAATGAACTTCGTCTATTTGAATATAAGAACTTGTTTGATTTTTTTCATGAAGAGGAGACATCTGTTTTCAAAAAGCAGAGACGGGAATCATTGTAAAGTCACAATATTTATATTCGATCACAAAGAAAATTCACATTTTGAATAGTTGGTATTTTATTTCCGTTTATGTAGAGAGTCGGATTCTCTAATGTGAAGGAAGAAGAATAATACGAACAAAAATCTCTTATGTTCAGCAATAAATATTTCTGTCTGTAGCTCTTTTAGGATTCCTCCTCGTTGCGAATCCGGATAAATGAGGAGTGTGAGTTATAACGTTAGCCACCACGTGCCACAGAAATCAACCTTGGTAAAACATGACTACACAGAATCATCATTTGAACCATTTAAACTCTGGCCTCCAAGTTTAGGGATACTTAACTAGAAGAGTTAGGATGCCTCATGGTGAAAACCGGGATTCCTCAGAAGGCACGAGGCCTATTTACCTTCCTGCAACCAGAACAACTATTAGTATAGTTACATGGAATGTATGGACAATAGGGGAGGCCGGGAGAACTGACTAAATAGCTACGGAAATGAGGAGTGATATTCGGACCCAGTGAAACACATTGAACCAACCTGGACAGATCATCCAAACAGTCTTATTGCACTGAACTGAAAATTGGATAACTATCACAGCCATCATCAAAAGAGCACAAACATTTATGAACAATTATCTTCAAGAGGTACTTAATATTGTTTGTCCTGATAAAATGAATAACAAACTAGTTTCCAAGTGGACAGAAAATTAAGAAAAGACGTCGTGATTGGATAGGAAATATATTGTGTAAATCACCAAACTTCATCACGAGGCAAGTACTAATTTGGAATTGTGAATGGAAACTGAAGAAAGGAAGACCAAATAACACACTGAATCAAGTATTAAAAGAAAGCACTGACTGGATGAATAGGGAGTGGAAAGAACTGAAAAGGATTGTTCATGACACAGTTGGATGAGGAATGCTGGTGGACGGTGCATCCAGCTGACGAGTCCCGAATAAGACAAACGTGCGTCTGGGATTCCACTGCTAGCCACTATCCATCCTTGCTTATAATGTTCATGGATTCATGCAATATCCATACAATACGCACATTATGTATATGTGCATATAAGAGAATGATCAATTGAAGTTGTAAACATCAATGGGAACATCCAAGTTAAAAAAATACCAAGTGGATTTAGTCTTTAATGTGTTTCTCAGTTGAACTATTAAAAAAGCGGTGATTTTGGTATTTTCAAGGGATCCGTTTTGGATCTTGAATGTAGAATCTTATGCTTAATAAGAACTTTCGTCTAAATTTGAACGAATGGTTTCACAATATTTGGGCACCTAGTTCATGTGAGTCATTAAAGAATCTTATGCTATCTGATAAAATCAATTGGTTGACCCCTTGAATAAATTCAAATTTCTTAGGTTAGTGACGCTTAATTTGTTTAAAAATGAGTTTTTTTCGTGTATATGATATTTTTTGTTTTAGTAAAATAACTTTTAGTTGACATTTTACGTTTAAGTAGTTGCCACTCTTGTTTCCTTTCGTACAACTCTACGTCCAAGTTGTATCAGACAATATTGTTTTCAAATAATTTGAGAAATACAATGATGTAATTGTGTTCTGACTTGGATCATATTGTGGTGTGTTCTACTTATGTTGACATAAGCAATATATGATGATAATCAGGAACAGAATGTCTGGTAGCAGAGAGACTGGTGGATCGAACAGTAAATAATGGAAACAGAAGGCAATTTGTTTGAAAATGCAAGAACAATGAGGTCTGAGTCATTTTGGGACAATTGATGGTCATTTTGCAAATTTAATAACAGGTTCTGTGATTTCCTAGCTAAAACATTCGATTGTCCCCACTGGTGTTTTTGTTCACTACAATATAATTGGAAATTAATTAGAAGCGAATTTCTACTTGAACTTCAGTCTAGTCAAAATTCTGTTTGAATCACTGTCAAATAAAGCATTATAAACGATGATTCTGAAAACACATTTTGTTGAATAAACTTCATCTATGTTCTGAATTTCAGTTAATGATGGATAATAATTTTAACAGTCATATTATTATCACATACGTGGTAGACATTTGGTCGATCATGTAAAATTCGGTTGACAGAGACAAATAAATTATTGCTTCACTCACACGATGTTATTGACTTCCAAGTTTACTTGCTTAAGACATTTGAATGTCCACTTACAACTTATCAAAATGTCAATTTATTTAGTTCAGCGAGGTATTCCGATTAGGAACCAGTTTTTATTGAAAAACAGTCAAATTAAAAAAGTTAATGAAATAAAGGATACTTTTCATACAAATGATGACAGAAATGTAGGTGAATTTTTAATTTTATTGTAGACTCTTGCATTATATGAGTTTGCCAGTTGAGTTTAAACTCATTTCAAAGAACGGATTATTTTCCAATAAACGTCAGTTTGAAAACTATAGCTTACATGGATTTGATCCAAGCTCACATTCAGATTATCGGCTGCATGTACGAAAAACTCGGTTGTCGACACATTACAGAAAACTTTTATTGTCACAGATCCATTGAAGAAAAATGCTTGTGACTTGTTATCGTGCAAATGGACTTGAATTGACAAATCGTAGAGATGTGGAAACAATGTGCGTGGTAATCTAAAATCCTCTGATGAATGAATCGACACATTATTGTCATCGCCGATATTTTCAGTTGCACTAGTAGTTAACGTATCTAAAACAAACGTTCGAAGGAGAATAAGCATTGTTCATGAATCGGTATTAATCAATGAGTGAACACTGTTCACACAACATTGTTCACTACAACGAGGAGATAGTCAACTCAGTTCACGGTTAGATCGTACTATAATCCAGATGAAAATGAAGCATCTTCCTCTACCAAGTTTATTTATATTATACACCTTCAGTAAAACCAGTCATTTGAGCTTTTTCAAATTTATTTTGGTGTATCTTGTGCCAAAAACAACTGAAACTAATATGTGATTGATGTATTTGTAATTTGCGTTGTTGTTAATCGCTCACGAACTATGTTGCATTATACAAAATAGGGTACATGAAAAAAATAAACATTTCGTGTGCTTCGGGTATTTTCACAATGAGCATTTCAGGATTTTACATCTACAACCCTATTCATGAGAATCAAACTGAGGTAATTCAGTCATGCTCTCGAAAGAATGATCTCTAGACCACTGGACCGGAATCGAACGGTGCTTTAGACCCACCTCACTCCATCCACGATATTGGGCGACCATCTTCCGTTGTCTTCAGTGAGTACGTGACATAGCATAAGAATCGTTAATTTGTTAATCATATGGATAAAATATTAAATCGCAGATCTCCATTCAACGAGACTGTGAATGATTAAAGAGCACTCTATTTATAATATTTCTAGTCACACAATAAAATATTTACGTTGTTTCAATGGTTAAGCTACTGCATAGTAATAATAATGACACTGGTAATAGATCTTCAGTCATTAGGTCAAAAACACAATAAAAAGTAATTGAAATATACATACTTGTATACTCTGAATCAAATTCAAAAAAATTAGACCTGCTCAATGCTGAAGCATCATTGACTAACATAAACGAAAGAATCAACACGATCAACATGATGAATGATTTCTTTGACCGCATTAAATTTGGGATTGCTAACGTTTCTGCATGTATTAGGTGGAGAGATAGACAGTGATGAGTGGAATCAAAATGTCTTCTATCAGCATTATCCACAACCAACATGTTCACAGGGTACTTGAGTTTGAATAATTGTGAACCAACGACAATATTATCTACAAGTATCAGACAGTGGTTAGCACAGTTCTCTTTTATAGATATTTTGCTAACGAGTAACAATTGAAATCACAGAAAAAACGTGATTTCTTTAAAAGCGTCTAACAGTTCGAAACAATCTCACGCTTACAGACCGTGATCTAAACTTATAAGAATAAGGTCGACGAGATGAATCTTGTATAGTGAACTGTTGACCTTTAAACAGTGTTAGGTTACATGACAGTGGTCATATGCAATGTCTGACTGCATGTATTAGTAATAATAACGTCTGACACTGGTAGCCATATCCCTAATTAAGAAGAACAATAAATTTTGGTTTGGGTTGAGCGAGGCGATAGTTTAAGGTCGATGCACATGCACGAAAATGACAGAAATTCATGTAACTGAAAAAGGTACCAATAATTTTATCTCAGCAGCCTTTGTGAAGTGAATTAAAGACATGTTCACTGTTATGCCTAATCGTATGTGAATCAGAACAGTCTGTTTCGAATTGTTTGAACTTCGCCAATACCAACCCATCCAGAGGTTTATAGGAATCCACACAGTTTGGTTGTTTACATGTATATGATCTCCAGACATGGCCAGTTCAAGCACATAAGATATGCAACACCGTACGACATTCATGAGAGTTTCAGGTTTCAACTGTGAAAGGTGACAGCAATCAACCAACAAATAAAAACTGAAAAATTAAGAATCCTACATATGCTCAACCGGTTGCCGTCCGTCTATTTGAAGTCGGATCTATTGTAAAGTGTTTCGAATAGCGATAGTAAAATTTTCAGAATGACCATGAATTCAGTTTTACAGTTTCCTGAAATTCTACACACCTTTCGAACCACTTAATAGAACAACAGTCTACTCCATTTTCCGTCACACCATCATTTCAGCATTGAATCGGAATTCATACTAAGTCATTCGATTTGTAATAGGAGTACCGAAATGCTTCAACAGATGTATAAGCTGGTATTTTGGACGTAGCCAAATCTTGAACACTAGTGAAAACGTTGCTCAAAATGTTGTTGGACATACGAAACTATTTCTAATATGTGTTGATATTGACATTTTCACAGTAACAAATCTTGATGAAAAATTAAAGAAAATAGACGAATAATCACAAAATCGGCTTAATAGTCCTCACGCTATAAAACAGTCATAAACCGGAAAAAGAAATGTAGAGTGTTTAGGAGAACAATGACAAGCATTCACAAATGCTTTGAAAAGAAACAATAAAAATCAAGCAATCAAGTCAAACATTGCATATGACCATTGTCATGTAACTTAACACTGTTTAAAGGTCAACAGTTCACTAGACAAGATTCATCTCGTCGACCTTATTCTTATAAGTTTAGATCACGGTCTGTAAGCGTGAGACTGTTTCGAACTGTTAGACGCTTTTAAAGAAATCACGTTTTTTCTGTGATCTCAAAACACACTTTCTTTCGACATACTGAAAAGCCAAACAAATTCAAGTTGACTCTCAACAACAGGTTCAAAGCATAAAAGGATCTACTGAAAGAAGAAAAACTATGATGGAGGACAATTAGAGAGGGATCAAACAAGTATTAACTTCAACGTGTCAGGATCTCTATCGAAACGCTAGACAAGATTCAAGAAAGGACTAATAAGAAGATAGCATTTAACAACAGCCGAACAAGAACAGATAAGGTCAAGGCACAAGCTGATGCACGCGAGTTGACAAGCAGGTGAAGAGCAGCATTAGACCTGACAAGCAGATATATGTAGAGGACCTAGCAACAACAGCGGAAAAACTGCAAGTGAAGTAAATGTGGAACAGCTATGTTACGTCACGAATAACTTATAAGGGAGCTGAGGAGTCCAGGCAAGGACACAGAAGGCAGGACAATCACTTTGATTCACGTATAGAGTAACAAATGTGTGGATCACTTTGAAGAATTTCTGAATAAGTCATCTCCATTGCATCCATCGGACATCGAAGCACCAGTTACAGAACTTCCTATAGATGTCACTCCACCAACGATTGAAGAAATCAGGATGATCATTAGACAGATCAAGAGTGGGAAATTAATAGGACCTGACAGTATACAAGCTGAAGCATGGAAGTCGGACACAGAAGTAACTGCTTCGATACTACAGAGAGTACGTTAGTAAGAACAAACATTAAATTAAAGTCTACGAACGTCAGATTCACAGATTGTTGGGTAGAGCAAATCGCAGTTGAATATGCCATAATTGAAATTTCTTGGACATTTGCCGCTAAAACTTCAAAGAACTTCTCTAACTAAGAGGATGTAAATTACATTACTTAATGCATATATAAGTTTCAAAATCTTGATGAACAAACACTTGAAAACACAAACAATCTTATCATTTTTATGGAGTATAAGTACTAATTACACACCAGATCAGCGCTCAAGAATTTTATCAGATCATAGAAATTAAACAAATGTACCTTTACAGATAAGCATGCATTCTGGTTAATAGCTATCATAATTAATAGTAGTATTAATAACAATAATAATAATAATGTTAACAATACTAATAACGATAATAGGAACAATAATAGCAATTATTCATAAAGTAACTGAGCTTCTATATCCATTTTTATATCATCTTTGCACTATAAAACATATTCTCGTCCATCTGTAATAAAGAAAAATGTGTATTGCCAATAATAGTAGAATGAATATATGTACGATCGAATCATTGTACACATGTATATACGTTTCAGTGACGAATGGGTATTAGAACATTCAAAATAGTGATAATAATAATAATAATAAGAAGAAGAAGAAGACCACATGAAAACCGAAATATGAATACGCAACATTGAATAAGAGAGGAATAAGAAAAATGAGTAGTTTGTTACAAAGACACAAGTACAGATGAATTGATAAACAGATCGATTGATAGATCTGTGAATCGACAAACCAGTAATCAATTAATTCAACAGAATAAAACTGTCTAATAGTGAAATTGTTGATTAGTCTGAAAGAAATGCATTCAAAGTAATGTGATTGTATTGGGAACATTTTTATTCAACCAATTACTGATAACATCACGATGAGTTTTTGTCCATTTCATGTTTTCCTTTGACCTTTTAAACAAATCATTTAATCCACGTTTCAGAACATGATTTTCAAGTAGTTTTTGTCCAGAATTTTGCATAGCAAGTACCTAGTGAATTAAAAGTCAACCATTTGTATTCATTAATTTCAAAAACAAAAACTTAATAACTATCAAATAAATTAGGTCCATCTGTATGGTAGTAATCAGTTCGGTTGGATGGGGTGAAAACACCTCAATCTGTGAATTGGATTAATGTTGGTCCAAGATATGAAGCATATATGTTGAGTGGAATCTTTGAAATATTAACTCCACCAACTAATAAACCGTCAGAGAATGTAGTTACAAAACTTCTTCCCTGGATTTGTAATATCTTATCATATCGAATAAAGTTTATGTGGCTGACAGTGTCCATAATGATAATGAAAACACAACTAAATTATCAACCTCAACGAAATCACATCACTTAACTCATCCAACCAAGCTGCACAAATTCCGCGTGTAAAGACATACATAACACCAATATATTTCGCCTATATATATATCGAAAAATGTTATCGATCTAGAAATAACATTTGTTAAGATAGAACTATGTGATAGTTTGCAAAAGTGCACTAGTCTTAATGTCTAGTGATTAGTACTTAAGCCAATTGTTAAGGGTTTATTGGCACCACTGAAACAATGTCAATGTTTTCAATTTCTCAATTAAACAGATTTTTGAAGGTTTATCGGTGTTGACTGTCTTTTATTATTTTTTGCAGTGTACGCTATAGTAATGTACTTGCTTAAACTAGTCCAAGATTATACCGGTCTATATGTACAACTTGGTCATATACAACAGTGATAGCTATTGATTGAGTGTTATACAGAAAAACAACCTTCACTTCAAAACACTCAACGTCATATACTTAGTGACTAAATTTATAAAATTAATAAGAATTTAAGAAAAAATTGAACTAACTTCTTCTTGATCCGGTATGTTATTCAGTGTGTAATGACGTTTGGATAGTATTTTAAGGATTACAGTTAGTACACACCTGTAAAATAGAACAAATAAACGTGATTCATATCTTGATACACTTTCCATTGACTGCAGAATCACTTACCTGATGTTCTATCCATTCTGCTAACACTATCATATCCCGTTAATAGTTTAGTTGTATGTATCATAGCTTAAAGTGTTTAATAATTTGGATTTCATTAAAGCATGAACAATTCGAACAGGAGTTGACTAAACTGAATTGCCTATAATAATGGATGTTGTTTTACCAACAAAAACGTAAAAAGATGATTGAATGCTAGAAATGAATTCTCCTGAATCACAACCTCATACAACATGGAAAACATTTTCGAACTAACAGGTGGTGAAATGACTAGTATTACTAACACCATAAAACTTTTCATCCGTTCATGTCAAAACAAACCATGTCAATGTATTTTCCATCTACATGGTAAACAGTCAGTTGTTCATAATGAAATGTTCAAACATGTAACTTAACGGTTTTTAGTTCAGTAACTGTACACGTTGTTTGATGTAAATTGTGAATGAGGCTGAAATATGTTCATAATCACAAAAATATAATTAATTAATTAAATATAAACAAGTACGTTTAACTGTATTATTGCTAAACGAAGATGTGGCAGACATCAAAAGAATGAATAGCAATTGTGAACAATTTCTAAAGGATGACCAAGATAAAAGTTGGATGGAGAATCCTGGTGAGTGTCCTATGCTCTTCAACGAGGGATAACAAGTGATAGTAAGCAAGTAATTGCTGAATTGAAATCATACATAAACTACTTGAACAATGCGGAAGTGAAAGAATTGGTTTGCTCGGGTTTATATATATCATATCCAAACTATGCTTGCTTGTAAAAGCAGACGAACTCCGAAATATATATCAAAGTTATTCTAGCTAATATATTTGTATTGTAGAACCAATACTACCTACCAAGATATATGAAATAGAGTGACAGATAAACAGTATTTGGATGATGGAAATTCGAGAACATGGCAAACCTTGTTCGCTATATTACTGACAGAATGCAGTCACTACTTAGGTTTCCTTCCGTTCCAAATAGACCATGATCTATTCTAATCATAAATACTTATTATACACCCTATGGATTCAAAATGTGTCACCGAAATCCTAATGCCTATATGCCTTTCAGATTGAGTATCAGTTCTTCGTTGACATTAGAAAATATATTATGAATTCCACGATTAAATTCACTAAGCAAAACGTCACTTTCCACTCTTCTATTTTTAACTTTATTAGGTACTTTTAGTTTACTGTGTACAGAAACAGCCATTTGAGTTAGCCATGCTGTGTTTATCTATACTTCTGTCAGCGTAATAACTCCATACATGTATGAAAGTGAGAACAGAAGGAACTCAAGATTCGATTATTGCAAATCAATAACTTTTATTGGTAATGCAATGGATATAAAGTTAATTACTTCCTTATTACGATTCTAATATAACGAATATTATTTATTGCTGAATTCTCATTAGACCCTCTGTAATCATAAATATTAATGTGATATTATCTACGAAGGTAAACTGGATAGTCCAAATATGAAACAAATGTTGATGGAAGGAATAATTTTAAGTGTTTTTGTGCAAACCAATTGTATTACTTACTCATTATTACGCCCAAAGTTTGCGGTTTGGTGATACTTGCAAATGTCATTGAGATCATCAGATGAAGCGCTAAATAAGATGGAGTAGTACAAACTAGTCTTAATTTTATTGACTATCTATATTACGTGTAATTAAATTTAGATTTTTATTCCACAAGCAGTTAGACCCATTTAGTTCATTGTTAGTAACTTGAAATCGAATGTGATTTTGTAAAAATTGTTAGGAAGTCAACCTCTAGTCTGTTTCGTCTAATGGGGAGATAGGAGTCTGTCTTAAAAATGGATATTTATCACTCAAATGAAGGTAATGAAATTGCTGAGCATTATTTTAAACATTTCAGACAACATAGAAGATGTGGGGTGTGCCGACTCCATATATTTCTAAGGTATTAATGCTTATTGTTTAGTATGGAAAAAATGTGAAGTAGAACAGCCAGCGAATTTAACATTATGCTTAGAAAAATCAAAATGTCAACACTTGACGACATGACAATCTGATTATGTCTCCACTTCTTGACTGACATGAACGAAAATCTTTCTTTTCTAATTCTAGAGACGGTATATTACATTAACCTAACCAATCAGATGTTAGTAGACGTTCAGATAGATCAAATGCTGTTACGTGGCCACATGGTAAGAAAAAGATATAATTATGCGTTTACTGTAGTTGATGTTTGAGGTATGTGTCTGGTACAAATTACCACTGTAATATTAAATGATGACTATATGCATCTTGTCTGATAATATCGATTTTGTTTCGTCACACATCTTCGCAAGCATCTCAATTATGTTAGGGGTGAATGGAAATACTAACTTTAAAAGAACCAATCTTATTTTATGTCACAATGCAATATAGTGTGCATATAAAGAATTTATTGACCGTGCCTCGTTCAGTCAAATGAGACGAGATGCTGCGATACATTGTGTGACATCGAAGTAAAACTTATACTAAATCGGTGATCACAGAAACATAAATATAGTAAAACATAAGTGAAACACAGAATAGAAATATTTAGTCACCAACACTTTTACACTACGTAAACATCATTTACTGAAATATGTTACCACTCTTCAATAAATAGCGATGTAAATTTCGATTCCGTTATTGAAATCGGAATGAGGTCAAACTTTTTATTTATTTAATAGACTGATGCATACAATTCATTCATCTAAATGTTTCTCTACAAAACACTTTGTCTTCACAAATATAAAATTCAACCTTAATCGATTCGAAAATTGAAAGAATGTCCTCTAGAGAAAATGAAGAAGTTACCGATTGCCAGCTAAAATTTATTGCACATTAGAAAGGCTTCAGTAGAACAAACTGGATTGTGAACCAACAACCGCCAAATAAAAATTTCAATTTTGCAAATTCTTATGGTTATTTCAGAATCTAAGAACAACCAACGTCTCCTATCTTCAACATCCGATTGCTAACAAATTTAACCAGGATAATTACTTTGGTAATCATCCTAAAACACTAACAACCATCATAGTTTAAATGTGATGTAGAGAATTATCAGATTAATGATACGTAGAAAAATAGTCAAGTAGGATTATTCAATATGTAATGTGAAATAATGGATGCTTTGGAAATCTCAGCCAATAATCACGAATGAAAAACTATTGAATATACTACTTGACAATTCGGAAGTAGTCAAGTGAATACAAAGGTAATGACTGAATGAAAATTGTTGACATGAGAAGTATAACGCAATAAGAAAGCATTCTGTAACTGAGGTAAGCAATGAAACTTACGCTTTAGCAGTTGGGCGGGTTGTGTTTCTCCCTCTGAAAACAATTGAAAATGTTAATGACATTTTGATTTGTCTTACATTAAAATGTCTAAATGAGTAAATCTGAAGTTTGCCATAATTATTTACTATTTCTGAGATAATAAGGTAGACAAATCATCTTAAGTTAGGTTTAACTATACATTTTCTCTTGAGAAATAACGATGTATTAGCTATAGATTACTTGGACTTTCAAAATATTCGACTAATAGGAATTAGACTTTTCACGGTCCAGACGATGACTATCAAATTAATGAAGGCATTAAACACTTGCTTCTTGCTTGTTTGGGATTATTCAGAACCACACAGGAACAACTCTGGATAATATCTAACACAAATGTTTTAGATCTCTTGTTAAACACGATACTTTCAGACTACTGAGTGTGAAGTTATGGTCTACAAATTATTTCACTTCATTTCCGATATTTGGATGAAGATCATCCAATTTCATTGGTAATATTTGCTTCACTCGTGATGTGACTGAAATTCACAGAGTACGGCTTCTCAGTAGAAAGTTGCGAAAACATATCTGAGTTATCTTCTATGAGACAAATGATCTAAATCTGCAGCTACATTTATTTAGTTTTTCGTGTATCATGAAATTGTATTAACTGTATATAGAATCTAACTTTTTATAATCAATGTTCAATCCGGTACAAACGTGGATTAACAAGAAGCTTATTCAGAAGAATCTATCGAATTTGCACTAACGATGCAGTTGAGAGAGACGAGTAAATGTCTTTACTGAAGCACTGATGAATGACAGTTACTAACTTGAGTTTATAAAGCGTTGGTAGATCAAAGATGTAATAAGAACTACTAAGTTCTCGGCATCCAAGAAGCGAGTCTATATTACTACACCATTAAGAGGTAACTCACATCGCCTGATGGTCGGACTCATCAACATCAAAAATTCTTGGTCTATGTTTCATAAAATACTCAAAAAGCATGTGACTAATTGCACCACAACTCATTCCATCTATCAGTTTACATGTATGTGCTGAAACACATAAATACGAGAAATAATCTCGATCTGCTGGTAAGGGTTGGTGTACACAACTAAATGGCTATGAAATCGAATGAATCCCAAGCATCAGACAAGATCACAGAATCGACAAATATCTTCCTTCACTGGGAATCGTTTGATTGAGACCTAATAAACGTTCAATATCAAGTCAACGTTCGTAGTGTTGTCCAGAAGTGTTCAAGAGAATATACTAAGGTTTATCGAAGTGATAACTATACGAAAACTGAAGCCACCGTTTTGTGCTCAAAATGTGTTGTGCAAATATATCAAATAATTCTGAGAACGTTCATCATCTTATCGCAGTATCCAAGCTTAAATAATAGTTAAACTAATACTGTTATTACTAATGAAGTAGGTGAAATGATTTTCATTTAAAATATTAAAGAACATTCATTAATCTACAATAATTCTTACTCATTCATTATAAATCTCCACGCTTCACGAATATGTTCCCATAGAAGTGTCTGGCCAATAGGATACAAAGCCACAGATGAAAGTGCATCCAATAAATCCTGAGGATCCTTTTGATTATTTTTTATGACCCATTCCAAATGTCTAAATTATCGATAACATGGAAAGTATTAGTCGATTTCAACAAAAGTATTTATTCGTATTGAATTTTGAATTATTCAGGTTATACAAACTAAACGAAGTAGGTAATCGAATATTTGAAAGAGATACAAATATTTTATTATTATTTAAGCAGAATGGTTATTCAAATGTTCTTTAATTTGGAGCATGAACTGATCAATAATAAACAACCACTGAAAGCTTCGACGAACTGGACAGTGAACTCCTGAGGAGTTCCAAACTTGGACGAAACAGACGTCCAGTACTTCCATGTATTCAACGGTGGCCTGGCATTGATCAGTTCATGATGTCAATTAAGCAAAACTCAACAATCTCCACAATCATATACTGGTATTCAAATTTTGCTCGGTTTGTCGATAAATGTCGTATGAGATTGAAATTAACCGCAGTTATTTGAACTCCAAACATTGTTAGGCTAAATGAAAGGAAATATCTCATAACTAGTGGTTATTGTTACGGCGTTGCTATTTCAATATGATCATACATTAAACATTCTTTAAATATTAGTTTGCCTTATTACACGTAATTTTAACTCATATTACCCCATATCGGTGACATCTATATCTTATAAGCAAACTCATTAGCTGGATTACTAAATGCTGACTGAGTGGTCTGATGACAGAAAGCTAACGTTAATCAATTGATTACTCATAAAACACTAAACCTCATATAATGAAAGCGTCTTCCTACGAACTATCAAAGCACTTTAAAAAAACAGCGAATACTAAAACCGATGAATTAAATTACATAAACACAAAACTATAAATGGTCAAACGATATTGAGAGATATATATGGTGAAAATTACTGTTAGTTTAATGATCATATAGATACAACAGCACGAAATATGTATTAGATAGTCAATATATCACGAAACAATCCATGTATTTTATTGACTCATATATGTTTACATATATTGTACTAGAACAGGAACCATTTATTTAATTTATTGGAAGCTGACAATCGAAAGCAACAACAAATGAAATGTAATATAACTCACAGTCTTACTATCCACATATCACGTGAACAAGACAATGCCTGTAAAATACTATTTTTCTCATCCTCTTTGATATCCACTTCTAATAAACGTTGTTTTAGGAACTCCCATTCTTTTTGTCCACCGACTCTAATTGCTGTGCAATAAACAGCTGGCCTTAAACTTGGTGGGATCCTTAAACATAAAACGGATGAAAAATTAGAGGATAATGGATAGTACTACATGTAGAGTAAACAATATCACAAATTTTATTATAAAAAGAACTTTATTCGTTCAACGCGGAAATAAAACTGAACAAAATAATTAAGTTATTTGAAGCAGTCCACAAGTTAACAACTGATATACAAATTCCACCAGTAAATACAAGTGAATGATTTACAACTTGTTGGTCGCCAATACCTTGCATTTAATAGATCCAAATCAGGACATGTCTAAGAATGTAATTTTTCTAAAATTCACTTAGTAATTATTTCAAAATCATAACAGTTCAACAGGTAACTTACAAATTTTGTGAAGGATTAAGCATCCAATTTCTGTAATATTCTGTAGCCATTTTAACGCATGAATGATGTTCAGCTTGACATGCTAGACGAGTTAATGTCAGGCGCAACATACTTAAATAAAAAACAAGCACAACTGGTGAAATAAATGAAGTTTCAACAATAATTACATTCAATTGTTCTAATCAGTTGTCTAATCTGAATTTAATAAACAATTAACTGGAATAATAAAACTAACATAAACACTCATCCCTTTATTTTGTTTATTTATCTTCATTTTATGAATGATGTGACATTGGATTCATATAGTATAAGAAAATTGTATGTTTTCTCAAATTTCACCGATCAGAGGCGGTAAATATTGAGTGAAACTTCTTCTCACACCATTTACAAATACACACAATGTGTTATCTTGACACACTTTTCATCTCACATCACATGTCTCTTACACACTAACGCGAATACCTACTCATAAGGTTGTATAACGTTGATTGGATGAACTAATTAGTATACAGTTAATCAGAGAACCAAATATACAACTGGTATGACCATGTTCGATAATTTTTATGTTAAATTATATTTCCTTGAAAAGCTTGTACGAGACTGCCATAGAATTAAATTTACAATATAGGCTGTCTACCTTCAGAATGAGCTGAATATTTTATCTCAACTATTTTTATTGGGTCAGGCTTGTAAACTGATAATGAGCAAGCTAAGATTGCAAACCTGACAAGTTTCTTTAAAATCCTCTTTTCCAAATATATCCTAAGATATTTAGCCCTAAAGAAATACTTCATTCATTGAGAGACAAATAAGTAAACTTACATTGTTTTATTCATGAGACAAATCAAATCATAAAACCAGTATCATCACACATAATAATGTTGAAATACAAATGGGAAAGTATACAGGCAAGTATAAATATGATTACATATCGATATAAAACACCCCGTACGTTATTGAAGGTAACTCCATGTCAGAATTATGAACAGTGAACGAATATGTTTAATATGATAATAGTGATAATATGGTTATTTGTCCGGTGAGACTATAATATATGGATGAACCAGATTTAAGATAACACATGTTAGATTTTGGCGCGAAATTCATTCGCTCATTTGGCTTTGTACGAGTTTGGTATTATAGCTCATGTCGGTTAGTGATGAAAAGATTAAGTCGAATTCCTAACGAGAACATAAAAATGTAAATCCTAATTCTAATTCCTCACACTAATGTATAAGCTCTATTTAACCCAAGTAAGTAAGTAGGCATTCCAAGGTCATGTTAGAGTTGTTATAAGGCTGTCCATAAACTATAGTCTCACCAACTTCTCTCATTCTATGGATTCTGTATCCAACAAACTCCACTAAATCAGAATAAATAATATTCGTTTGCACTAGACAACATATTTTCATAGGCTCTAGGTGGTTATCATCTAATGAAATGCATACAGAACACAGTTTAAAAACATTTACGTAACCTACTGCTTCATATGATCTTTATCTTCTTTCATTGTTGTCCAGTCCACTGATTTAAGAGGATCATCTACAAGCGTACGCAAATATGCTTGAAAAGCTCCATAACTCTCGTCCATGGCAAGCATACGGTCTAAATAAGATAGTGCTCGTCGAGTCGTTTCCCATACAACATACTGATCTTCTTTTTTCAAATATTTTGTCAGATTTAAGTAGACATCGTATGAAACAGTAGCACGACTTTAAATATTTAATAATGAGAAAAGGTAGATTTTAGAAAAATCGTATACATGGTAAATTCACATAATTAAAGTATAATTTTGTACTGATGATATACTTGCAAACGAAATAGGCAATATCAATCTTTGTTAGGTCATTCATCAATGAAACCCTACGGTAGAAAAATCTTGCAACCACTAATTATATTCTTGTCGATCAATTAATTAATTCTAACTAGTTTTTCTGTTTAGGTCAACTCAATGCAGTTTAATTATGCCATACAATTTAACATGTATAGAAGTAAATTTTGCACACATGTGGATCTTAATTACTAACCGGATGGTTCCAACGAATTTCCACTGGTTTCTATTTTGTTAGTGATTAATTCTGATTGAAAGTAGTCGTTACATTTTTGTTATGAAATTATTGTTTACTATTTACCGCTTACCAAGAAAAATAAACACAAGTTTACTCCATATATACGACTATAACCTGGTTAGTTTGATTTATTATTGTAGTAATTTAACAGGTATCATACTGAACCATAAGTAACTTAAACAAAACAAAAACAATTTTAACAGAACTGTTAATGAACTTCTAACTTTTACAGAAACTGTGAACAATATAAAATCTTCATTTAAAAACATTAAAAAGTAATTTCAAATTATTGAATCAGAAGAAACATCCAACGTTGATAAGTGTTAGCTGTTAGTTTTATGATGTAAATTGTGGTTTGTAACAAGGTTGTACAAGGTAGCAACAATCTGTTTCACAGTGGATAAATTGCACGATAGTGATAAATAAACAAAAGAATTGTTTACTGTCACTATATTGAAAACACAAATGGTCAGTGGACATTTGTAAATGATGTGCAAGTCGGTCAACAATGCACAAATAGAATTTAGTAAATTCACTTAACCTTGTTATCATTATACTCATAATAGTTCAACAAATATAGCCTTCATCACTTCTCGTCCATTAAACAGTAAACATCATAAAACATTATGCATTTAAAATCAAGTTACTAATAGTTTATCTAAGAAGAGACGATAAAGCCTTTTATATGCAACAGTATTTGAAGAAGATGAGAATAAATTCAAAGAAATCTTCCTTGTAAGTCCGAAAACAGTCACTTTTTCACACCTCTCATCTTTGAGGCACTTTTCTGACTATAACAGTATCCCTAATCTAAACTCTTTGGTTCACTTGAATGATACGAAATCATTATTTTATATTAATCCTAGCTGTTCCTTCTGATGAAAAATTTTAATTTAACACTTTACAATTATTGTTATTATCAAAACAGCTCCGATAGACTTTTTCCATTTTTGTATCATGATCATACTGTTTTAATCATCACCTTATAGAACTTCTCTGAAATATTATTATAGAAGGTGATCTTGTAGGGATTCGTGTTAGATATCTATTGTTTTCAATGTATCATATCGACTCAGTTGAAACTTACTGTTAGGTTAATAACGATAAGTGCAATACAATATTTGGTTACAGAGAAGGTTGCTGAAAATATATTCTCAAACATTCCTTATGTTAGTATTATCTGTTATTTATATTTCACACCTTTTGAATTCGGAAACTACTTAACTTATCCACGCATATATTCAATTCAATTATACCTTTAATGTATTTAATATAAAGTTCCTGGCCAACACAATAAAACTTTTTATAGATTTATATCTTCAAAGATCGTGTAACAAGAAGCTGTTCATTTAAATATGTAAATAATAAAATTTTAATTTCAATCGAATGCATACCATATGATATTATGTCAAACAATAAATATAGGTAAGTACACTTACTTTGCTAAGTTGAACAAGTCATCCAAAATTTGTGTTCTTGAATGAAGTGGAATAGCCTAATCATAGAAAATATCGAATCAATTAATTTTTTATTTAGTAAATACAAAGTGATTATCGGTAAAGTTGTGGAGATTGTTAAGTTTTTATTGTGACCATGAATCGGTCGATGTTATGGTGAATTGGTTCAAGTTAGATATTAACATCGTTGGATGCCACCTTAGTAGTCTAGAGGTTAAGCATTCCCTCGAGAATGAAGATTCTGGGTTCGGGTCTCACGTGCGGGATCGTACATGTGGACTACTAAGGTGTCCAATAATATTAGAAAACGGTAGTCTAGTGCTTTCAGGTTTTCAATAATGGTCTAACTTTGGTTCATTCACGATCTCAATAAGAATAAAAATAATTGTTCACTATATGGCTAAAACGATTTCAAATATTACTTTGCTATAAATAAAATGTTATTAAGTCGGAATCATTATAATTATTGTGATGTCTATACGAGTTCAATTGGATAAACTGTTAACAGATAATTCACAATCATACGCTAGTTTATCAAAGTAATTATCTTTGTATAGACTTTGAAAGTGGTTAATCTTAAGAATTTTTCAAATAACGGTTACTACTTACACGGTGGTCTTTATACAACTGTTCTGTCAATAGTTCCCAGTTATTGTCGGCATAATGAACACGATAAAATCCAGCTTGTTTAATGTTGAATAAATACCAAGAATTTTCTGCAACATCTAGTGTTTGGGTCATTGTCTCTGTTGAAATTAAAGTAAATATTTGTGGAAATGCTATGAAATTGCTGAATGTATATGTTCCTAAGTGAACATCATCGCATAAGAAGGAAAAGAGGTTAATGTATTATCATCAGTGTATGGAAAACCAAATAAATAATTTAACATGATCCAAATCTATGAAGGTTTAACGTTCAATTAAATATACTAAACTAAATCAACATAATCTGAGAGCCATTTCAAACAACAGAGGACTTCATAGATATTTAATCCTAGTTCCAAACTTCTCAGCACTTAGTGCCCATGACACTATATGATAGAAAGCCGAGAACTTTTACATCTCAGCCTCATAAAGAAATCCGTAGACCATTGAGGTGAAATCCATCAGTCACATTTTCACTTTCAACCAATCAAAAATACTATATGCCTGCTATTCAACTGCATGAGATATATATGTTTCACTATTAAATTCGATGGATTTCACTAAGTAAATGCTCTCGCTATGAAACCTTAGGATCCTGGGTTCCATGGTATTTTGCGAACATGCTGACAAAATTCAGAGTCTTCTGACCACCGTAAGCAAAAATGCAAGCATGTTCGGGATGCGATTCTCTCCCTCGATATGCAAAATGTTGCTTCAGGATTGGGGTACATCGACACCCGAACTAGTGATAGAGAGTGAAGTAGTTGAGCGTGTCGACTGCTTCACTTATCTTGGGAGTCTTATCAGCCCTTGTGGTTTGGTGTGTGACGAAATCTCAGCACGGATACAGAAGGCTCGACTAGCTTTTACCAACTTGCGTCATTTATAGCGTAGGCGTGATATCCTTCTACCAAACAAGGAACGGGTTTACTGCACAGCAGTTCGTTCCGTCCTATTTTATGGTTGTGAAACATGGCCGGTAAGAAAAGAGGATATTCGTAGGTTACTAGTATTCTATCATAGGTGTTTTGGAAACATTGCTCGTATATCCTGGAACCACCGAGTAAGTAATGCAGTTGTTAGGAAACTGGTACTAGGTAAGGATGGCAAATCAATTGACGAGGTAGTGAGACTTTATCAGTTGAGATGGCTGGGACACGTGTTACGTATGCCCAACGACCGACTACCTCGACGTGCTATGTTCAGTGGTATAGGAGTAGATTTGAAGAAAGATAGGGGCGGCCAGACCAAAACATGGCACAAGTCCATGAAGTCACTGACAAGTAGACTGAGTCATATTGGTAGGTGTGGACTACCTGGTTGGGGTTCGCGAGACGATAGCAACCGATGGTCAGAGACCCTGAATGACGTGGCTCAAAATCGTTAGCAATGGCGCAGGTGCACCCACTATCTGTGCTCCCCCGAATTCTTATCTCCTGAATCCTCGTCTCTCTTTCCTCTTCCCAAATTTATTACACCTGATAACCGTTTTGAGATATATATCCAGCATCCACCCCTATCTACATATTACGCAATTTCTGATTCTTATTCCATTATTTTCTCCCTCACCTCATGTTGATCATATTTATTCTGATCATTGCATTTCACTTATAAGCTGATTCAAGTCAACAACCTCATATTAGTCATCCCAACATTAACGATTTGATTTGATTTTATATGACAAACAATTCTTGATTCACATGTTACAATTTTAAATGATGTACACTGCCCTAAACTTGGCCAATTTTATGGATTATTAATTTGGATTCATTATTGTAGAACCTGATGGGAAATTATTGAAAAGAATATTCTTCGTTCATACAATTGTGTTTCCAACCAATAATGTTCGCTTATTACAAAAATTTACCCGAAATTCGATTTTCAATATCTAATCCCCATATTACAATAGAATCTATAATGACAATGTATGTAAAATATATAATAAAAATTGATATTTCATCGAATGTCTATGCCTCCAATATAAAGATTTAGATTATTAATTCTTGAATACAGCAAAGAAAAGTCACTCAGCTTACTCGACATAGAAAATTGCGACTATACTCAAAAAATCTTTTAACTGATGTAGTTCAATCATAATATCTAGTTTAGACATCTTACTTAGTTATCACTATTGAGTGGTTTGAGTAAATACTTTCTTTATGTTAAAAAATGGCAACATCACTCACATTAACAATATATTTAACTGGTTTACAAGTGACACAATTTTACTATTTATTTATCCTCTGAAGAAGTGACTTACACTAAGTCACGAAACGTCGAAAATCTATTTTAGTTCTACTCATTGGGATACTACAAACATTGTTTTTATTTACAATTCTACTATAGTTAAATAAGCGTTATAAAGAATAACTTTGTATTACATCATATTAACTAAATCCACTTAACGTTCATTTATGGCTTAAATTAATTTAATATTCAGTGTCAATTTGACCACTTATGTACATAGCTTCCGCGAACTTACTATTTTTCATAGTTATGATTCATGATCAAGATTCTAGAAACATTCATTATATTACTATGATTGATATTTCCAATCATCTAATTTACAATACTTAACTTCCTAGGTTATTCCACCTACCCATATTTAATTCATTAGTATATATTACTACAGTACAATTCTCAATTAGTACTTATAATAAGTAAATGTATACAAAAACGAGGTAAAGAAAACAATGACTTGCTGTTCATCATCCAAATGACATCTGTTTCATCCCAGTTAATAGTCTTTGCTGATCCATAAGTCAATGGTATTTTCCATGTAAAGCTAAAAGTAAAAGGATCAATTAATTTAACTTAATGTTACATAAGTATTTTTTTTCTAAATCATTACTATGAGTGCTTAATAGCTGTATAGATAGATGGATTAAACTGTGGTGTATACTATTTATGTATATAAGTAGCATGTAGCACCAATCGGAAGTGGAATGCATGCCAGCAGAACACTGGGGAGATCCAATTGAAGAAAACAGAAAGGGAAAACGAAAACGATTATGATAACAACGGAATTGAAATATTCATAAAGCATGTAAAGGACAACTGAAGGAGGATGTGTAAATCATGTATTTGATGCATGGTTTTCATATTTTACCAAGATATTTTGTAATATTGTATTGAATTATAAATTGATCTTTCTCACCTGGGCCTTTGATCACTACAAAACCACTAAAGTAAACGATAAAAATGTTTTGTATTCATGATGTTTTACTCCGAAAATTACTCAATTAATCACTTGCAGGCTATTAAATCAGGTTAATAGTACTGAATATTAAAGTATATTGACTATAAACATGACTTCAGACTTCGTATCAGGCATTCGATAGTCTTTAGATCATTACGTGTAATTTATTTCATGATACTCGTGTACGTACATACGTATAATATACATATATCATATTCGTTGATATAGCCATTATGTCACAAGTTATTTAAAATGAATAGATTAGGCTAGAAATGGAATCTAGCTGATGAATCCCAAATAGGACGAAGGTTGCATGCTAGATTTCACTTCTAGCCACAATCCATCGATTCTAAACATATAATATAATTTAAATTAGAACAGTATAAGAAATGATTTAAAACTTTTAAATCATTCTAATGAAGAAATACAATAAAACTAGTTTACAACATAATCATATGACATATTATTGTACTTCATTTATTTAGATAGGTAACATGTATTGCTTGTTTGAATTAGGAAAGCTTTGTTTATAGCTTTCTATACATGAGTAGATTCATTAATTATATCAAAGTAAACATAAAACAAATGATCCCTGTGTTCTTGTGATATTTAGAAGTGTTACTACTTATTATGCAATAAAATCATATGTAATTTTCAACAAATTTAATTATTCTACTAATAAAGGTTCTCCTGTACACCTGATACGATTATCAGAATTGAAAAATACCATTCACTTACTGAAACTACTACAGAGATATAATATGTCTATGAACAATTGAAATTTAACACTCCTTAATCATATACAACATATGAGTTTTCCATGAATGTACTTATGTTCAGCAATATGTATATATCTATATCAATATATATAAACGAATAAGCTTAAAGTACTGTTTTGCGTCTTGTGTCACATGTTCAGACAAATATTGTAATACCAAATCTTCAAGTTCCTAACATCATTTTAAAACCCCACTGTAGGCTATCCTTCCTTAGTACGTGCATAAACAAACAGGCTGAAAGTCTATTGATCCGACTTCTTTCTTTAAAACTCTTTTAACATTGTTTTTAGTAGACTTCAATATGGATCAAGCGAATGAATTAGCTGAAACTATTTTCTACTGAATGCTATTGGTTTTATCAAACTTCAGAATAATCAGTGTATGTATTAGGGATATATGTTCAATAGAACAAAATTATGTTGACTTTTTTCAATGTCTAATAAGACTTTACTTAGTTTTTAAATGTTAGATTGATTAATAGTAGTAAAGAATGGTTGGTAACACATGACATAAGTGGAAAATCCAAGTTAAACATTGATATATTAGAGAAAGATAGTGAACACTAACTCTAACATTAACAATACTACTCTCCCAACTTAATACTAGTAAAAATATTACATCTAAAACAACTTTCTGTTTCACTATCATTATTACTATTATTATTATTATTATTATTATTACTATTATAGTTGTTGATGTAATAACAAGTCAGCGTAAATCGGGTAACACTTGGAAACATACAATTACATTCTAATCGTTTGCTATCGATTGAAATAGAAAACTGGGGATTTATTACTCATTATAATACTTGTAATACTAAGAAAATGCATTGTGGTTAATATAACTAATGATCTAATAAACATAATGTACATAATAAAAATGACTAATAGTATAAATCATATTATCTCGTAAAATTGTAAACCATTTAGATAAACGAACTAAGTAACTAATGAATCACAAATGATTGTTTCTGTGAATACAAACTAATCTGATTCGGAGAAGAAAAAACCTTTACAAAATATCTTAAACGAATATGGCAATAAATAATGATAAATGCAGGCTTATGAAATTTGGTTCGTTCTATTTCATCGAGTCGTGTGGTTTAGCAATGTTTTGCCTGGCAACAAAACTTACTAATCAATCATACCATAAAATAATATTAAGGTG